TCTTGTATGGTAGATAGTAGAGACCATAGACTTGCAGAAGAATACCTGGAGTGAAACTCTTTTGGACGGACAGACATTTGACCTATTGTCATCTGGTCAACATATTGTATTCAACACTTGATTATTATAACCACTTGTAAAGAGTGCTTTAGTAAGGAGATAGTCGATTCTAAATTGGCTCATTTTTTCTAAATTAAGTAATTCTACATTGCATTCCATTGCCTGTTGCTAAGCTCTGCTTGAAGTTAGTAACCTTAGATCATCAATGTTATTCAAATTAATACGAGTGATTTAGAAAACAGTCATGGAAGATCCATACTGAGTACAGTAGCTATTTTTCGACCTCATCTGGTAAGGGAAGTCCGTCCATCCGAGAAGTGTGATGTGCTGTTAAGTGTACAGTACAGTACAGTGTACGGTACACAGACTAGACACCCTCTGTAATAAGGGTCTCTATCGTACAGTACGCTAGAGCCTCTTTAAAGAGAGACATGACAATCTGTTGTTATAATAGACGACAACTGTCCTCTCTAGAGACCCTTAAGTTAATGTACACTTGTACAGACAAGCGAAAGGAAACCTGGATTGTTCCAACCAGTGCTCCGTACAATCCTATTGTTGGCTCCAACCAGAGACTAATATCAGCACTGAAAACTAAAAAAAGAAGTTGCGTAGTCCTAGTCCGTACTCTCACCTAAATGAGTACAGTACTGGCTGCTTGCAGTACTGACAGAGTACAGTACAGCTGTACAGTACAGTACTGAACTGACTGAGTACCGTACTGACTGAAATTTCACTTAATAATGTACTGTACACTGTACAGTACTGTAGAGTCAAATTATTTTAAGTAGAGTTTAACGTATAAATTGATATTTTTACAATTTTTATTACGATGTTTGAATTTTGAATTATCTAGGCTATCAATTGATACCAAATTTGTCTAATTTTGTCTTGAAATTATGTTTCCATATTATTTCAATCAGACGGAATTTTTTGGAGTGTCTTCTTTTAGTACTGTACTGTACAGTACTGTACTGTACTGTACTGTGTAGAGTGTACTGTACAGTGTACAGTACTGTACTGTACTGTACTGTACTGTACTGTAGGGTGAAGTTTAAATTCTACAGTACTATGTCTTGCTTTCCCGACCGTTGCTCCAAATGAGCTGGCGGACCATTTAAAAAATAAAAAATATAAATAAAATAATTAATTATACAATATATACTGTACCGTGTACGGTGCGTATAGTAATATCGTTAAGGTACAGTACATTGATTGTATGTTATAGTTATAATTTACATTAGTGTATTCAAAATCGATTTCCCTTGGTGTACAAGTATACTGTGTATTAGTGACTGACGACTGTATTCGTTATTTTTTAGATGTTGAGATATCAATGTTGCCCAGCTGTTCAATTTCATAAGTAATTTTACAAGTGCAGACCTTGGATACCGCTGAAATTAACATCAAAAGGAGCTAAATCTTGGCTTTTATTTAATCATGCAATTTGATCGATTTGGATTTGCTATTTATGGAAATACGGAAGAATCGCAGGACGACATTCGATATCATGATTATGAGTTAGTGAAAGAAAGATGAATGACGAATGCATTATAAATATCTTCAACTCTTAACTTGCATAAAAGTATATTAATTTTCAAGATTAACTCGATTATGCCAATTAGTACCGCTGTAGGATAATGTTTAGGCCTGATAAGGTTAGATGTATACGGGCACAAGTATTAATTACAGTAAATGGGATAGACAAAAAAAGAATTGCCATCGGCCGTACCATATCTCATGCAGTATGCAATGTCAGGATGCATAGATACATGGATACGTTCAAAACGAATTGTATAGTTATTGATTAATTCGACTTCCGATAGAAGCAATAGTAAAGCTTAAGATCGAGTTTACAATAATCATATTGTTACCGTCGATGTAATGAAGACGGATAGTGATGATAACTTTCAAAGATAAGTGGCTATAGAAATCCGTTCCTATCCCTACCTCATCAGATGAAGTAGTCTACTACTTTCTAACAATTGCATCCATTTCTTAACTTTACCACAGAAATGATAATTACTTGTATAAACTTGTTGGCTGTGTGGTAATATATAAGGTTATGCTATAAACTTTTCAGAATTATATATACGTATTAAACAATTGCATCAATTTTATTAGTGAAGGAAGCGTTGATTCCAATTTTTTAACAACACAACGTGTTTGGGAGAAAATAGTCAACAATTGGGAAAAATATACTAATGGATCTCCTAATAAAGTCAGTACCAAACAATCGATATCGCTGGTTATTAGAGACGTGCTTTCTAACCTATAATAAAATTGAGTAAAGTGACATTGGATATCAGTAGATGCTTATTAATGACTGTCATATCTTACAGTTGAGGACGCATATTAAGCGTGGTATTCCAGATACATATCGATCAACCGTTTGGCAATTACTACTGGGCAGTAATTTCCTGATGTGTAATTCGGACTTCGATTATCAAGTTTGTAATTGATGACTTCTATAATTGATTAGATTGCATTTTTATGTACAGTATATGTTGATTTGAATCCTTCAATTATTTTGCTTGCATTCATACGATATTGATAGGAAATGGTGAAAATGGTTTATCACGACTTAGTTGATGTAAATATTAGTGAGTATTGCATCGATCATGCAATTATTACCCTATCCAAATATGAATGTAAGTTAACATATACTGGCCAGCTTGAACCATCATAACCTCTAAACCACAATTATTAAATTTAATGTACAAGTGACTATCGTTTCAGGCTCGTCTTCTATAGAATCTTCGAATATGACGGCGAAAACTGCAGCTCGCATTTCCATCATGAGACAAATTATGGTGGATATAGGTAATTGTGAATACCATCCGTGCTGAATTATTTAAGGGCATTGCATTCAGTGATTGTCATACCTTGCAAACTGTAAATTAAAATTTAAATAATCCTTATCTTGGTACATAGGACGTTCGTTTCCTACCCATCGAAAATTTATGGGTGATCTAGCTGAAGGCAAGGAAGGAAGAGCTCAGTTATTTAGACTTCTAATGGTCTACGCATTGTACAATCCTTCTATCGGTTACTGCCAAGGTAGTAATATAAAATTCAAGGCATTAAATTTGGGGCAAAATTTTAGATAGAATCTTGACTGAAATGTAATGTACTAGTTTTATATTTGATATTCATTGTGTATGAACATTATCTAGGTATGGCATTTATCGCCGGTATGTTGCTAATGCACATGAACGAAGAGGTAGTGAATGTGAATGGATAAATGATTATCCTGTTAAAATCTTGCTATGATTCCAGATAATTTAGGCTAACTTTATTTTATTGAGGATGCTTTTTGGTCAATGGTGTCGTTATTTGAAAAATCGAAATATCTTAGAGGATATTTTGATAAATCTCTATCGCGGTATGCTCAACTATCATTTGCATTTAGTGATATACTATTCGAGTGACAATGTGTCATTAAAAGCCATATTAGAAGCTCTTGAAGAAGTTTTTGAACCATAACGTAATATTTAACTAATTAAATCATTTGAACAGGATTCACCGAAATGCGGAAGTCTTTTGGCGTATTCTTGAACAAAAAATGCCTAAACTATGGCATCATCTTGTATGAAACATAATTTTATGTCTGATAGAATTGTAGCTTAATTATTTATCATTTTATGAATTTAACTCGTTTTTTTATAGGACGATATGAAAATTCACCCTCTTATGTTTATAACTCAATGGTTTATGACTCTTTATACTAGCCTTCCATGCTGGGATACTGTATTATGCATTTGGGATATGACACTTTTTGAAGGTAACTATAACGATGCAGACTAATGTGCAAGTACTTTGCTTAAAATAGGTTCTGTATTGTTTGATCTATGCTTTATCATTAAATTTATTAGGAACAAATAATTAATTCTTCATACATTAATGCTTGTACATTTTTTAGGAACTTCGACTTTATTTCGTATTGCAATTACCATTATGATGCAGTTAGAAGGTATTCCACGATAACTCGTTCTAAAGAATCAGCGTCATTGTTGACGCTCCAGTATTGATTGCATGATTACCTTAGTATTACAACGTTTCTCAGTTTCAGAAATGAAAGGATTTCACCTTAATAAATCTTCTGTTTATTTAAAGTTGACGCTATTTTATAGCTTGTAAATAGTACTACACAAATTGGTGTTGCTCAATGTGTTTTCTAATTTGAACACAGACGAATTACTCGGAGCCACAAATTTAACTGATCTAATGCCATGTATTCTGAAAATTTCACCAAAAATGTAAGTTATTCACGTTCACATTCTTAACTGCCAATTCCATATTACTCATTTATGAATATATTTGGTAATAGCGTTAAAAAATCAAAGTTTATACCGGCTGTGCGGAAGACCGTTCTCCCTGAATGGGAAATTGAAGCTGTGCAAGCAATTATCCATGAAGATAAAGCAGATGAAGGTATGCCACCAATCGTATTTTGTTCGTCATAAGTTAACAACATTATTTTAATCCAATTAATTTCAATTATGTAGTAGCGAAAAGGAAAAGGTTGGAACCAGAATTAGATGAGTTAGGTAGCAGGGACAAGCGCAGTCGGATAGACGAAACCCAAGCTGTTGTTACAAGTAAGAAATAAAGAAATTTATTAGTCTAAATTATTTCTCGTTCCATGATATAATAACGTGATAGTGTAGTTATTATCGTGCAATTAACATAATTTAATATCTGGTATCATGCTATTATTAGGCGATAATCAAGTATCAGAGTCGAGTTTGCTTCAGAAGCTTGCAGGTATAATATCAGGAACTAAAGAAATAAAGAAGCATAAGGCGAGGAGAACTTCTCAAATCACCCCGAAAAGAAGACAAAATGATATCCGAAGGAGAAGGGCAAAACCTGTAATGATCGAAATGGTAAGATGATGTATTGTCCTTGAATAATTAATTATTCACTAAATAAGACAAGCTACTTCAATCGCTGTATACTTTAAACAAAAAATGAAAATTTACTCACGGTTTTATGACCATTAGAAAAACTTAGGAAACGTGAAAGTGGATAATTTAGCATCAAATGTATCGATGCTGAACAATCCATTGTATAGTGATGCTAAGTCTCGGAGCATAAATAATCAAGAGAATACGTTCTCCTTCAGGAAAGAGCTCAATAATGACCAGTTATTCGTAAGTTATGCTCAGTCATTCTCAGTCAAATTTAAATTTTCTAAATAATCGAAATTTAATAAGACTGTGATATTGTATTTAAAAATAAATACGGAAGCCTAACGCAAGTGCAGTAAAACCTGCAATTGGAAGGTAAGGATAGTATATTATTGCAATTGCAAGTTACTTCAAAATTTGGCGATATGTGATAAGTTATTTTAATTCTTTAAAGTACGGCTAGAGATAAGCTATCATTCAAAATTTTCAACACTCCTACTCCTTCGAGGCTAACACAAGTAAGTGACATTACTGAATCATATTGCAATGAGGACAACATTCTGACGAATGGTCAACTCAAGTTAAGATGTTCATATTAATCACTAGTCCAGTACTTTGATACTATTTGCAAAGATAGACATTAGGGAAAACGCTCTATAAAGTGCTACAGTATAGTTAACTTTACTGATCATGACATGGAGATAGAATTGAACGATCTTTAATATGTGTTTTACATGCTATTTCACCCTAACATTAATACACTTACTCATTTCTGATTTTAAATAAAGAAAACTGCTAGAAATGATTGGTTCTGTAGTTCAGCAATTACTAATTCACCAGACGTTGAAATGAGCGACTTCAACAAGCAAAGTGTGCGATTGAAGCTTGAACTTGAGAATGTAGACTAATGTAATCGGTTAATTAAATGCTAATATTCTAGCGTAGATGTATACTTATAGCGATTTCTACTTAATACAAAATGTGGCGGTTAGAAGAGTTCCTGTCGTATCACTGCATTGCAGACAAAATCTGACATGTTGCAGGACTCGAGCTGTTCTATTTGCTTATGACTTAGCCCGGAATTTTACCTTGCTGATATACAACAAAAATTTCAGCTAAAAAGTGTGTTGGATTTTATTTTGTTAGGCAGAGTTTGACGTCAATGTCTTGTAATCCTACAGTCATTGAGGTGCTTGTATCCCAATATATAATATTCTTAAATCTTAAATGCTTAGATTTTATACCTATTTCTTCATGAATTTTTAATGTAAGACATAATGAACGAAGTTCATGCTGTAGATCAGCTTCATAAATAGCAATTGGTTGTGAACTTAAAAATTTCGTTGCGTACATAATATATAATATCATTACATTCTAAAAATAAAATGAACGCATGTATTCTTTAGTGATAACTTTCAGGTAAGGTTTCTTTACTGTGGAATTCCTAATTCAACGATAAATTGATTGAAATTGAAGTATGGCGTTATCAAGCGATATAATGTATCACAAAGTAATTGACGTCTACAGTATACGAGCTCATAACAGGATTCAAATTCTCAGTATCATCGAAATCTAGTCAACTGTTTCGGATGAGTTTATTTGATCATGAACACTACATCATCTGCTCAATGTAACTTTCGCATAAATTTTAATAAGACACTGAAGTTAGAGTTAATGTATGCTAAATAAAGATAAGATTAGCTACAACATAGAAAAACAGATCTTGAAAGGTGAACTCACCCTAACTAAAACTAGGTGATTCGATCATGCATTTTGTCATCCTGCATTAAGCTAATTGTTATCTCGTGAATTGACTAATTAATGAATGAGCCAAAGTATTGACCGGTCTATTACATCATTTATCAACAATTTCATGTATCATGCTATGCTTATTTTAAAGTCACAAATCTTTTAGAATAAATTCAAATTCTGCATTACGGTGTATTTCATAGACACCAGCCATACCACTACCAAAAATAGCGTACCTTATGCATGCGTATCGTATTATGTTGACACAGGTAGTAATCGCATATTGACTGATCCGTTTCCATGGCAACATAGAGTCTTACTCAATCGCAGGTAGTTTCTACCTTACAACAGTCATTTATCAGATATTAATATAATTTATAATTATTCTTACGCTTGATTCATCGGATGAGTTAGCTTTTAAAACAACCAAATTCGAGAAAGCTCGAAAGCTTTATTAACCAAAAAGTACATTTAGTTTGCATAATAGGATTGCACTTCTATATTTTATAAAATTATCTGTTCATGATGAGCATAAAAATTTCATGATTTTTATGAGGTTTACGTAAAGACCATACTATAAACACACCATAAGGTAAGCTTTAAGTGTAACCTTCCTACCATCATAGAATTTACGATAGTTGTTATGTGAATAGCGTTTTACTTATGGTTACATAAATTTTAAGAGCCCTACGAGTAGTAATCCTAGAATATATCGCCAAATTGCACTAATATTATTTAAGAGACAGAGAGTATTATTATCATTATCATTGCATAACGTGAATAATTTGAAAATTAGATAATAAAGAATTGTTTCAGGAAGTACATGTTGTAGCCATGTCTGTTTTACGCTGCCGTTTAAATGGATTCTCGGCGTGGATTAATGTTCGATTACAGCCTTATGAGCACCAAATCAATAATGCCTTAACTGATCTTATGAAAGGAACTAATCTACACACATTTCTATTAAGTATGTAGTAATGTACTAATTACAGCTGTGCTAGAGATTATTTGGAGCAATAATTATAATTAAATCTCATCAATCGTAGCTCTTACTTTGCAGCTTTTTCGATTGTATATTTCAATAACTGTTTTTTATCATAAATATACAAAGACTGATTCCTGAAATTCAATTACTTGATAGGTTTAACTGGTCGTAAGCCACGCAAAATCAAATCTTTCGAAAAGTATGCACAGTAGTATTTTAAAACTGGCTTACTATAGAATACTGATCTTCTTAATTTTATCTAGCCATCAGTGAAAATGGATAGCAGCTGTTGTTACATTATATATATAAGTCTAATTTAGATCATTTCAGTTCATTTCACTAACGACCAAAAGCATCAAATCCGGCTACTTTCATAAATTGGATTATAGAAATATTTACAAGAAGTTTAAGTCTACTTTATAATATAATTGTTAAGTAATGATATTAGAGAAAACGAGAACTTTCAGATGGGTCCGTATGCGAGTTAGTTATTAAAGTTATTACAGTTTAAATCTAATATATGAATTTAATTTGGCAATCATAACTATAATTAGTCACGAACTAATACAGCTCATTACAGGCTAGACATAATTATGACTTCAAGAATTATAGTAAATTTTACCGTCCATTTTCAGTTTAATTAATGGCTCAGTGTAAAAATCTACTAATATTACAAGATATGTATGATAACTCTAGAAGAATTACAGTCAGTGTATCTAATGAATATGTTTAAAATTATTGGTAGACTAACAAAGTATCAAAAGGAAACTAGAATAGAATGGCTAATGGAAGAGCTTCTTCTCTTGTATGTATAAAATAAGAATGGAAGATAAATGCTTTTTTAGCTGCAACTATCGCGTTATTTACGAGTATATTTATTCTATAGCGAAATTGTGCCGGATGACACAGTCGTTGATTGTAATTTATTTGTCCGCAAGAGCGCTGAGCAGGTAGAAATCATTCGATATATAACTTTACTTTGTTGCAGAAAAAATTTAAATGAATTATAATTGGTAAAAGTTAAACTATCGTTTCATATTTTATTGACTTAAAATATACAGAAGCTTCTTTTTTTGCCATGACTAAATCAAATCACGACATCAAATAAAACATAATTATTTAATTAATTTACTAGATTTTCGATTTGCTATGGATGATTGTTAGCCAAGACATTTGGTTTCTATGGCAGCAAATGGATTTTTTACGCTCTAATGATCCGAGAAAGTTAACGGTGACTCCACTATCGGTAGGACTATACCATTATAAACATTTTCTTACTTAAATTGCAAATACTTCCTCAAGGTTTTAAGCAGTTATTAGAAATTGAGCCTAGTTCATTTTTTTTAACAATAGTGGACACCTCCGGAACCCCCTCCACCGAGGCCACAATCTGCTCGAAAAATTTCATTACTACAAGGATTTCGCTCTGCAGCATTCATAACGGAAGGAGAAGTTAAAGAATTCAACCCCGTTAGTCTGATACAATTACATTACAAATCTATAGCCTTAAACTATCCTACTGACCTTTGATAACTAATTTATAAAATAAATAGTTGAATAAGAGACTTAATTATAGAAATGTAGTTCGGAGATTGTATTTGCAAATAAGCATATTACAGCAAAACCTTACTGGAATTGAAAAGATTTCTTTTAAATTTTTTGCGCCTATCTAGAAAGATCTCAAAGATGAAGAGTGCGACAGGTATGTATGCCCGTAATGAATTTCTGTCTAAAGCTTATTAATTCCGATGCTCATACTTTTAAAATATTAGCTTTTTCTTGATTGAGTACGAAATCATAAATATCAACTTTTTGATTTACTGTACTGTATGTTATTGTAACTGAATAATCGAGATAACTGTGGAATTTGATTTTTATTCAAATTATTGAATGCTTTTGTAAAGGCTTAGACTATCTAGAAGGAAAGGAAACAGGTAAAAATTGCAATCTTTTATGCAAAAATTTAGCTCATGACGTACTATAGATCATGCTACCGATCATAAATTAACTTAAAGTACGAAATAAAGCAGAATCTCACTTCTGGTGGGCTGTCTTTGCTTAAAGATGCTTTAAATAAAATAAGTAAAGATTAAAAGAGTTAACAGAAGTTGTATTGTTATAAGTACTAAGTGCAGCTTTGTATCTACGTCTTAATTTAAACAGAGACGAATACCCGTTTCCTGAAGAATGTGTCATTGATCTTATAAATAATCAACTAAAAGTAAGCTACGAATGGTTAATTTTAAGTTAACATAAATTATCGAAATAGTAATTAGCAATGAAACAGTATGAATTATTAAGATAAATAGGCACAAATTATGATAATTGACAGCTAATTTAACTACTTTGAGGGTAATTGATTATCATTAACCACTGACTTATTTATTGTTTTAAAAATATTCGTAGTTAACAAGGGAAGGCAAAAAATTAAAAATAGAAGTAAGTTTAGTGAAGTAAGCATTGAAATATATTCGAATTATTATCAGAGATAATATTTTCTTCCCTTGTATAATTGTAGGCATTGAATGAGTTAGCAGATGGAAGGTAATGTAAAATTAACGTTCATTTAGCTGAAATATCATAATCTTACGCTAACGAAATTGTGTCTCTTAATGTACTGGTTATATATAGGATACTATGTGCTTTGGTCAATTCTTTTGTACCCGGGACTTTCACAACTGAGGTTTTGCTTAACGATAGGTATGACTAGCCCATATGAATTTTATGCAAAACAATCTACATTCTGAAATAGCTTGTCATTTTATTAAAGCTTAACAATTAAGTTTTCTTCTGTAAATAAAGGTGGTCTATGAACTTAGCTATTAAAACGGCAGGAGATATGTTTGATGGTTCTCATCCAATTCATTCCGGCGATCTTGTAGAGGTAATATCTGAAGGAGTCTTCACAATATGTTAGTCCTAAATTTGTTATTATTTGTGATAAATTAATTTTCTTTGAAATAATTTTAGGCTGATAGTGTGGGTTTGTGCGCATTTTGGGCATCATTCTTCATGCTTGGTTATAAATATCGGCAAAGCATGGCAGCTCTACAGACAAGAGTTAGTAGTCGTTTGAATTAATTAAGTAGTGACCACTCAGGTTCTAGTTCATTACTAGATCTCTTTTTCGCGATTGAGTTTTAAATAGTATTAATATCTTAAACTAAATATCATGCAAAAAGTTCACTCATAATTTACACGATTAAGTTAAGCGAAAGTCGTACTCATTTCTTAGTTATGCAGATGTAATATTTGATGTTTAGTTATTAAGATGAAATTAAAATAGAAGAAAATAATTTTAAGGGTTTAACCCTAGACAAAACTTAAAAGCCTAGCTATACGTAAAATAACCGCAAAAAGGACTGTTTTGAATCTATTCTTATCAATTTTTTTACACTAGAAAAATTTACATTTGAAGTGCTTAGAATTGAAATCAGAATTTGATCAATTTCCAGCGGTTGTTTCTTCAATGGCTCATCTACAGAGGTGAAATTAGCTATAAATTTCAAAAAGCAACAAAACATTTCTTTAACTTTGCTATACCATGTTTAATAATAATACGTAAATGTAACGAATAAACTCATGGTGGAAAATAATTTTTATCCAGGCGAACACAAATTGTTAGTAACTTACGGGAATTGGAAGAAGGTAAGCAGAATCGAAGAATTGAATCTAGTTTAACCTACTGCAATGTTACATATAGCTTGATTTCTTGTCTGCCTCCTAGAAATTGCCACAATAGAAACTAATTATGATTTAGAGATGTGTGAGAAGTGGAAAGAGAGAGTGGAAAGAGTTCAGAGTGAGGTACGTAACATAATACGTACATATCATAATTTATTCATTTAAACGATCGAAATAGCCAGTGCTTGATTCGTGAGAGACTGAAAGTTTGCAGAATATATATATAAACCACTACAGCTAAACAGTTAACCACAGAAAAAAATCTTCATGCTTATTTGATTCATGTACTTTTAATTACGTTTCTGAATACAGATGTACTGTTTATTGCAATTGCTTTTTCCTTTAATTCTGGCAATACGAATGATTATTGTTATATTTCCTTAGACTCGACATATCGTGGCAAGTAAAATAAGGGATCGCTTCGACGTAATTGAATTAGATCGGTAATTATAATATATTCATAAATAATTACTTATTTATGGCAATCAGTATAATACTCTATATAAGAACTATTGATAGCTTAAAAATGTAAATCCGAATTACAACTACGGGTATCTTTTTTGAATGAAATCAGGAATATCACGATAAATGACTTGAGCGCTTCCTTGATGATCAATTTGGTAAGGCAAAAAGTTTTTAAGATGCTTACCTTATCTGTAATTCTATCTATTTAGATATTATATCATTTAATGTATCATCAATATCGAATGATTTAACGTAAATATATTCTTAGGAATAAATCTATTATCCCTACTTCGCTTGATTTATACAAATTTTCATATGCATACGTCATGCTCTAATTTATCGACTTTAATATACATCTTCAATTAGCAATTAACCAATGGAACAGGATATTATTCTAGTAGTACTCGTGAAACCGTTTGGAACGGTCGTAGAATGATTTTAAAGGATAAGAAATCAGGTGAGGATATAGGCAAATAGGAAATTATTATATGTTATCCACGTCCTTATTATTTTGCCAAGTTAAATTGATGAATAGTCTCGTCTATTGTCTAACATTTTTTTCAAAATATCTTGCTATAATTTAAATTTTTCGTATATCTCCTATTTTAAATAATAATAATTACCGTAGCTTTTATATCTATTTGATAGATTCATTCTTATTACATTTTTGTTAACGACTACTTTATAACAGGGCATTTTTATGATGATTTTACTACACGACGAAAAAATCATTGTAAGTTTATTAAACAACCGGAAAGTCTGCAGAAAATAAGACGATATTATTATGTTGATACCTAGATACTGTAGATTGATCAACTATTAGTAAATCAATACAGCCATCTATATTAATTATTTGCAATAAACTAATCACTACTTTAGCCGATGTTCGTTCTATTCTCGGTTTGGATCCTTACGAAGTTGTGGAGATTTCACCTAATGATGCCAGTAATTATGAAGTAAGAGATTATCGATCCTATAATGTGATTAAAACTCTGCTAGTTTCATTTAGATTCTCTCAAATTAGTTCGTATTTCCTTACGTTGCATGTTACTATCAGCTTATAGTCACACCATGTTAAGGCATTTTTTACGTTGTTAATCTAGGTTTACTTTGAAAGTCCATCAAGAAATAAAATGCTTAAAGTTGGAACTAAATTTGTGTATCAAGTCTTTCCAGGTAACACCTTAATATGTGAACGATTGTACCACAGAGCAGCAAAAATGGGTGAATTAGATACCATCAAGAAATTGGTAAAGTATTTGCTATAGCAATCATAAACCCGAATATATAGTCAGGATACTTTACTTTCTCACTTTTTATTATTTATCTTTCTCTATTAAAGCATTTATATATCAAATATGCTTAAATATTTAGTTCATACTTTATAAATTACTATCTTTTTTATAATTTTCAGGTCATATTCTTTAAGAAGGCCGAATCATTTGTGAACTCAAGAGAAAAACGAAGTGGGAATACTGCTTTACATTTAGCTTGTAAACACGGCCATAAGGTGACTTACTTCTAGCACTTGATTTATAATCTTGCTATAGGCCTATTCTTAAAGTAGCTTTTAAACATCGATAATTGATAAAATTTAATCAAGTGTTGATAGTCTGAGAACGTTTGTATTGTAATAGTAACTGATTGAGTATAGTTATTTATGATACCTCAAGATAGAGTATAGAAATTTAGATTTAAAAGCTACACATATAATGCGTTATAATCAAGGATTACTGTTTGTTTTAGTTAGCAGTTATTCAATTGCAATCTTCTATTTACCTTAGGTAGAAATCGAGCTATTAATCTTAAAAATAATCATGTATAGCACGAAATTTAGTAAAATTATCTCCTATTTTTTATACATTGTAAGCTTTAATCTTAGCTTCTTTGCTGCATAGCACATAATGTTAAAGCTTTACTATCATGAGAGACGAATTTGTTTAATTTACACTTTAAAAAATTAATTTCTTCCTTAGGATGTTGTTATATACTTATTGGAATGTGGTGCTAATATTAATGCTTTAAATAATCATGGAAATACGGCTCTATTTGTATCTATTGAAAATCTTCATCGCGACATTAGTCAAGTTAGTATTTAAAGCTCTCCTATTTATGTATTTTCTGCTATTTATGAAATTTTCATATCACAATTAGTTTTCCTTGATAAATTTGTAACTCTATAAACTCATTGAAGTATTTCATAGAGTCCATTAAATATGTTACGGTAGATATTATATTGTCAACGTTTACTTCTTTCCATGATAGTTACTAATCGAATGGGGAATAGATGTCATGACCAAAAATCTTCACGATAAAACAGTGTTCGAAACGATTCGAAATAAAGAGTTTGGAGATTACCTGAAAGGTAACTATAGTTTAAGAAGCCAGAATGAACCTAAAAATACTCGGCAGTATTACTGTTGCATGATAAATTTATTCCATAACTCATAAAGAGTTTTTAGTAATAAATAAATGATAAATAGTCTATTTCTAAGTGATGGAACGATAGATATGATCGATTTATTGTGCATTGTGTCTTTAATCAGGAAAATATGAAGAATTAAAATCTTTAGTACCTGATATTATCAATGGCAACGCAGCAAGAATTGAAGAAAGTATCAAAAATCATATAGCCAATGTCAGTACATTTGCTAGTCTTCGCAGTCGTTTTATTAATGGTAGTACATTATTGCATATGGCTGCACACCATGGCAACATTGCTGCTATCAAGGTTATTGCGTACAGAGAAAATATTTCGGGAATGAATCTTTCCCTATATACGTATATTTTACCATTAACTTTCAGTTTTAGTAAAACTTTAATTTCAATCATGGTAAGAATGCTTTCCTAAATCACATTTTACTTTACAGCTTTTGCTATTTGATAATCGTTTGGATGTTAATGTCTTGGATTACAAAGGTGCAACGGCTCTACATCGAGCACACAATGAGGAAATTGCTACGGTACATACTTATATATAGATAATTAAATACTACCATAGATATTAGAATAATAGGGTATATGATAAAGTGATATATCCTAAATACATATGTGTTTAAGCTAATTACTTTAATTCTGATTTGGCAGTTACTATTAGATTTTGGTGCGCATGTGGACGCTGTTGATGATGAAGGCAATACGCCTTTGCATACGAAGTGCTATGGAACGGCAACAAAAAGAACTGAAATGGATACCTTATATGTCTTGGTTTGTATCTTTTGCTGAATAATCGACTTTCGATATTTTAGTTATTTGAATATCGTAAGAAAAAACTGCTGCAGCGTAAATGCTGATGATAATAATTCATACTTTTGATTTAGATTAATAGAGAAGCTCCATTAACAGCTAGAAATAATAAAGTGAGATTTGATTTTAATTTCAATATATTAAGTTTAATATCAAAATCTCTTCTCTCGTGTTATTAGTAGCAGATTAAAATTGTTAAAAGGCTACATGGTACATATTTGATGATTATAGGGCTTATTACCTGTTCATTGTGCCGCAATGCAAGGGAGAATTGATGCTTTGCAATTACTGTTTCAATATGATAAAGTTAAAGGTGCTATTAAGAAGAGTTTAAAGCAAGAAGATGAGGTAATTTACATTTTTGACTGTACGATCAAGTACAAAGCTAGCTAGGCTGTTATCCACTTTCGTTTGCAATCAACTGATGATTGGCTATTACGTGATTATTTTTTCTTCATATACTATATTCGTGATCAATAAAAGAAAATTCCTAGTTTAGTTTACCTGGCAATAGCTAATGACTTTCTAAAGTGTGCGAAGTGGTAAGTAAATCTTTAGTAAATATTTTCAAGATTAGGGTCGTCATAAATTGTAGTTTAAACTAAAACGAAGGTATTCAAATACAGAATATAAAATATGATCCAAGCTGTTTTAATAATTTAGTTCCGTCACATAAAATAAATTATAATAGACTTAAAATCATTCTTATCGTGAACTAATATCTCTATAAATACAAATTTTTTTACGAAATTAGTGATAAAGTTAAATTAGCGATTTTATGAGATATTTATATTTATCAGATTTGATTCTATATCTTGTTAGGCTGATTGACAATCATATGCAATTCAGAACCGGAGAACAAAACACTTTAGTTCATAAGCTTTTAGTTGAGCAAATTCCGAGGTAAAACATATTTTACTTCTAGTTCTATATTTAACATTTACTCTTATTAAAGATGCATACGGTTAATGAACTTTGATTATTTTTTACTAAAATTTTTTTCACTTTCCAATAAAAAAATTAAAGTTCCGATAGAGCTATCACCTTTCAATTCTTATTAGCTAATGGGGCAAATCCTAACCCGAATTATCCTGGGGGTAATAGGTATGATAATACGTCTTCTATGTCGTTGAAGATTAGATTTCCAATTTTATAGCAATTGATCGAATACCATTTTACGGTTGTAAAATTTTCAGAGCCATCCATTTGGCTGCGGGATTGTCGGGTAATCCCGATGTTTTAGAGCTACTTATTACTCATGGTGCTGAAATTAACGTAATGAATGCAGACAATAGCTCTCCGTTATTTTTCGCTACCAAGGTTAACAACTACCGATGTGCAAGTGTATTAATTAAATCCGGCGCTAATATAAGAATAAAAAATACACAAGGTATGATTTAATTTAGAGGGTAGCGTTATGTTCTGAACTGCATATAGGCATATTTACCTAATTCATCTATCTGCACACGCTCCTTTGTATCATATCTTTGCATATTTAACTATCAATTCCTTGACATATTGTGCCACTTTAATATCACCTATTCTCAAGTTAAAATATTTGCCTGTTTATCACTAACGGTTTATAGATGTATTCGTTCCATAACTTTTCTTGTACATATTTTGATGCGGCCTCAATATTATTGCTTAGGTTTAACCGCTTTTGATTACATTGAAGATTTTGATGAATGGATCGATAGCCGTCATTTTGATGATGATACTATAGCAAAATTAAAAGGTGATATTCATATGATTTAAAGTTTCATTTTTAATCCGTTAAAGAAAAATAGTTCTAGAATGAGTTTTAAAGATCAGTAATTCATAGAATTACACATAGGATATGTGTAAGATACGGCTAAAGCACGTAATATATTATTCAATCACGCCTGAATTTGGATGCTAGCAGCTATATCCATATACTGCATTACTAGTATGAATATCATTAATTTTATTTTTATGTAATCGTTTATTGGGTCTAATCACGCGTAAAGTTATCACACTAGTAACTTTCGAGGTAATTTAGGATAAATGACGATGGTATGTTATTTTAAATGCTGATTTCTCTTTATTTTTGATAGCTTACAAGATTAAACATTCAAGAGATTTAATACATGCCATTTCGCATAAAATCAAAGGTAGCAATCAAGAAGAGAGAAGAATTGATATAGCTAAAAATTCTTATGCTTTAAGTAAAGCTTCTAATAGTAGAAGTGTTGTTTCTTTACCTCATATCTAGCGTCATAATTAGTCCAAGATGTTGTAAAATGTTATGAGCATGTGGATGTAATTCCATGATTACCTTCTGTACGGGTCCTAGACACGATTACGATTACAATACGGCTTCTTTAGAAATAATATTTTATATAGCATATATCAAATTATTTTTTTAGCAACTTTACAAAGTTTATATTCCACTCAGATTTTATTATGAGGAGAGAATTCTTAAGGCAGATTCAATATTTTATTGTTTTAATTGTATATATGTATATATGTATAACATAATGGCCGGTCATTACGCGTATTGGCCGGAATTTTCGGGTTTTGGCCGTAACAATTTAATGCGGTCATTATTATACCATTATAGCGTAGACTCTGTATATACGTATATTAGGAAGACATTATTCAGGGCATCAGCTCAAAATGAAATTTGAGGACTAAAGATAATTTTATCATTCATCTAACAATTTTAAGCTATAAATTATATTTTTGCTATACATATGCAGACACTGAGCTTATAGAACGACAATAAGTATAAAATAATCATGGATGGCTTATTCGATTTCTATATTATCATTGAAATTTTGGCTATTTGACTAAGAAATCTGCTATTTGCAGTATTGCATTCTCAAATATACAAATAGGATAATCAAAATCAATGAATATGGCCTGATTGTTTTTAAAATCATTAAAATTCGCAAAAGGGTCAATTACGCTCTTAGTATTAAGCGGTATAGAGAGAATACTTTAACATTAAGTTGATATACAGTGATCCTAAAATTTATATGTGGGTTAAATGTCCATCCCTTACATTTACTATTCATCACTCCAACGGTATAACTGTCGTAGCGATATGGAAAAAGGAAAAGATGATAGAATCCGCGAACCAGCTGATTGTGTGTAATGATTTCCGCTAATTACAGCAGTTGTCAGTTATGAATTCGGGAAATACGTTGATAGAATGTAGTATAGAACCATATGTCTTAGTGGAGTAAGTGTTGATTACAATTATGGCTAGTATGACGAAACGGCTGATACATACTACCCAGGTATGTGTTATATTATCAACTCAAATTTTGAGTTGTGGATTGCGAATCTATGGATAAGAACACATACCCACTCTACATTGTGATTTGAGTTAATTACTGTAATAATGTGTGTCGAAAGCTTTACAGTAATTTGAAGTACGTACTTTATGGCGTGACTTAGTCTGTTAAGGTTAATAAAGTCCTTACAGATGATGGTTAGTATGGAGAAACAGTGTACTATTTTATCGCGAAGTGACTTTTTCTACAAAATACTTATCTCATTTACGTTTGATGATATACCGTTATCTATGACATTTTACATATTTTTAATAGATAACTGTCTAGTTTTTTAATGTTATACTGATAACTAATGGTTACGTAAATTAACTATAAATTGACTGGTTTTGACAATAATATCTGGGTTCAGCTATGTCTGAGATATACTAGAGGTGTTTAGTTTCTCCTAACGATAGAAGATCGCCAGTATTTAGATTCGTACAGGTCAATATCAGGAAGGACAAACCTGATAGTAGACTTATAGTTGCAGTTTTCTGAAATAGTTTAACTTTTCCACGTTACAAATTTCGATTTGTAACATATTTTATATCAATTGCTATTTCTTCAATTTTAAAAACTTCAAAAATTACGAGTACGCGGATTGTAAACGTAAGCTTAGTAGCATCATGATCGTACATAAACTACTAAATACATTGCGACTGCAAACTGATTAAGCATTAGTATATTATGAATCCTTGCGAATTTGTCCTTGTAATGATATCAGCAATGGCAATACTCGCAGTACAGTAGTGTTATACGAGGGAATAGTGGGATAGTATACAGTATAAAATTGTGTGTCCTAATAAAGTAAGTGTTGATTATGGCTAGTATGATGAAATAGCTCCCTTGTACTGTGCTATGTACTATATGCTCTATAACAAAGAACGCATCCTTTAAGTTGCTGTCATGGATTCCTATTCGTTTTGTGATCGATCGATCACTTAATTATAAACTATCCAATTACGTTGTACGCAAACCGTAACGTAAGCTCGAGCTACTCCCAGATTAGAAGACAGTCATGTATGTAAAATGTAGGTTTAAAAAATACCCAGCTACTGTTAGTCACTGTCTTGGATTCCTATTCTCCTCACTTACTCCTCTCGTTTTGTGATCGATCGATCGGTTAATTATAAACTATCCAATTACATTGTACGCAAACCGTAATGTAAGCTCGTGCTACTCCCAGATTAGAAGACAGTCATGTATGTAAAATGTAGGTTTAAAAAAATACCCAGCTACTGTTAGTCACTGTCTTGGATTCCTATTCTCCTCACTTACCCCTCTCGTTTTGTGATCGATCGATCACTTAATTATAAACTATCCAATTACGTTGTACGCAAACTGTAATGTAAGCTCGTGCTACTCGCTGATTAGTAGACAGTCATGTAAAATAGAGGTTTGAAAAATAACCATACTATAAGTATACATACAGCGAGTACAAAAGTTTGGAATCCTATCTAGTTGTTATGGTATGAAATAACCTGGTTAATTCATGCCATCACCGGTCAAGTGGTCACCCTAGAGCTCTTTTGCTCTACTTTCTTTGTGAACTCTGTTCTCGTCTCATCGTCTGTCAGTCCCATTGTATTGCTGAGCAAGATGACTGTGCACTATGCACTGTGTGCAATGTGGTGTGTGAAGAAGGTATGATGACTATGATCCACTATCGATTGCAATGAAGCTGTAATGTTCCACAGTACAGTATACTGTAGTATAGCGTACAATTATCCCTCTTGTATCAGACGGACGATTGACGACCAGTGGCAAGTATGATGACATCCATGTACATCGTACTGTACGCACTGTCGTGACCGTACTGTACGCATGACAGCCATGTTTCATCGTTCCAAGTAGAGTCAGCGGAGGAAGAATCAGTCGCCTCCATTGAAGATTGAATCCAAGTGTGGTTTCCACTTAACAAATTACTGAAAATCTTCTTTTCTCCACTGGGTAAGTCGGTAATAAATTGGATTTGAAGAGTAAGCAGCCTTATTATTCGAATGGCTGTTGTGGATAAATGGACGATGTTATATGTGTCAGCAACGCAATCGTTGATAATTGTGTTGTTATGGCTAGAAAAGTGCAACTGCATCGAGAGGCCAAACAGGGCACGATAGGATGGTCTAGAGTTTTAAGAGATATGATGCAACATAATATGGATGTGATACTGTCATCAGTGTTAGCCACAAATGGAATGATGGAGTTGATTGATTTTCACTGGATTAGCTTACATTGATTCTAAGTAAAAGTGGATTCTTCGTTTCTCTTTCATGGAGAAATGGCAGCGATGCTAGCTCATGTGGAATGTCACCTATTCGACAGTGTGTCACTGTCGTTTACGCTGAGACAGTCAGTCATTCGAGGTATCATCCGTTTGTGTTGAAGGGTTAATCCCACCTGATCCTCTTGCTTTCCCTAATGACTGAAAATTCTTCTTAATTGAGATCAGAAGTCGTTCAAATGATTGATATATTACAGGAGTAAGTGATATTATCCTGCCATGTCATGCACAATGAATTAATTATAGTTATACGATCAGCAGAAATGTTGAGCCTATCCACAAGCAGGTCGTGTGGGCTGTGTGCAAAGGTTCATTAATAATGTGATACTGTCAATAAATGGCGAAGCAAATTTTGAAACATGTAGTAAATTTATTTTCAGTGTCATAGCTTCCATTTGGGGGGGGGGGAGACTCCAGAGGAAAGTATTCTTCCTTTCTCTTTCAAAGAATAATTACAACTGAAGGCTGTGGCAAAGGTTCGTTAATAATGTGATACTGTCAATAAATGGCGAAGCAAAATTTGAATGGTGTAGTAAATTTATTTTCAGTCTCATAGCTTCCAATTTTGGCGGGGGGGATTCCAAAGGAAAGCATTCTTCCTTTCTCTTCCAAAGAATAATTACAACGTAATACACGCGTTGTTATTGAATGTAGCGTCTATTATAATGTACACAAATTGTAGACAACTTGAAAAATAATGAAGTGAGTGTGTTTGCAGTCTATTAAGCTTTTAGATTTTGAAAGTATTCTTCGTTTCTCTTTCAAAGAGAAATTACAAAGTAATACAAATTGATGTTGAATGTAACGTATCGACGCGTACATCGAAAGATAAATTGTTAGATATCTTCAAATGGTATAGGGAATTTTGCTGTATATTAGCTTAGATTTTTTTTACCTATTGAAAGTATTCTTTGTTTCTCTTTCAAAAGAGTAATTATAAGTAATACAAGTTGATGTTGAATGTAACGTATAATATACCGTATAGTAGCTTTGATTTTCCCCAAATGAAACTATCCTTCGTTTCTCTTCGAAGAATAATTACAAAATACTATTAGATACTCTTGTTGAATATAACGTATACTATACAGTATAGAAGTGGTAGACAACTTCAATTGATGTTGTGAATTTATTGACACTGTGTGAGCCTAAATATTGAATGTATTCTTGGTTTCTCTTTCAAAGAGAAATTACAAAGTAAGTAATACTAGTTGCTGTGATTGTAACATATATTATACTGTTTATAAGTTGTAGACAACTTCAATTGATGTAGTAAATGTCTTTGCAATGCATTAGCTCAAACTTTGAAAGTATTCTGGATTTCTCTTTCAAAAAGAAATTACAAAGTAACACGAGTTGATGTCGAATGTAATGTATATTAGAGATATAAATTGTTAGACATCTTCAAATGATGTAGTGAATTTATTTTCAGTGGATTAGCTTAAATTTTTACCTAATAAAACTAGCGTATATTACATCTGTGCACTAAATTAGTCATTTGATATTACGTTCGTTTTTATTGGAGGTTGAATACCGGTTGATCCCTTTTATTTCCCTAATTACTGAAATGCTTTCTTAAATCGAGACCATAAGTCGTTAATGATAAATCGTATTTGAGGAGTAACCAATAACATCTAACCCGACCATTGGCAATCAATCAATTATAAGCAAAATATTGGAACTCATTAACTTGTGAGATCAAGGTGTGGGCAGTACACCACTCTATGCTGTACTTATAAAGTGACATGGTATACCTCATTGTGGATGGAACACTGGAATAAAATAAATAAATAGCAGGGCAACGCAAATGGTATCGTTTGTTCATTTACAGTACAGTGTTTTAGCTTTGATTCTTCCCAAATGAAAAAGCATTCTTCATTTATGTACGTATGTGTGTACGTTAATTTTCCATCAAGGAGAAGATAAATGAATCGAAATAATATCTCTATGAGATTCGATGAGATAGGATGCAGGATTCCTTTTAAAATTCGTGACGCTGAATGATATGTATCTAACATAGTTGTTATTCTTAATTATTTTTTAGTTCAACATTGATGCAATATGAATCAAGAAGCGCAATTGAAATTATATAATAGTATGACCCGAAGAAAGGTATAATATAAGCTATCATGGCGTATGAATTACTGTAGAGGTTGATCGTAATTTGGATATCGTGCGTTGATAAATTAAAGCGACAGGATGTAATTTTATTTCATTACAGTTAATAGACTGATTGAATACTATAGTACTCTACGGCCATTTACCGTCAATATCCATTTCAATAGCCTGTAGTTGAAATAATTCAGTGTGTTAAGTTTATGAAGCGATTACTACAATACTTTACGGTCACTTATAGTAATTATCTATTTTAATAGTCTATAGTTGAAATAGTTCAATATGTTAAAATTAATAAAATAACTACCACTGTACTTTACGGTCGCTTACAATAATTGTCAGTCTATGATTAAATTAATTGAATATGCTAAAATTCGCGAAACAATTATGATAGAACTTTACCAAAGCTTCAGTAATTATTCACATCAATAGTTGATAGTAGAAATTATACAATTTGGTAAATTTTATTAAATGATAGTTGATAGGTAATCAACGTTATTCTTGAAGTTTCAAACTTGATTAAATTTTACTAATGACCGCCTTAACTACCCTCTTTTTCTAGGATACATTTGTACCTAGCAATGAATCTTGCCTATCATGGTACAATTGCGGACCTACTGTCTATGATGCATCTCACATGGGTCATGCAAGGTTGTTATGCAAATGTGCTAGTAATAGAGTTGTATTGTTTACGGGTGCCTAATCGTTTATTACTCTTGGCCTATGTAGACATAAACATATTTGAATAATTACTTGATTATTATGATGATTACTACTGCTGGTTGTAGTCTACAGCAAAAGCGAAGACCACTATATATTTTCTTGTTTCTTTATTTGTATCTTGTCTATAATTATTACTTGTGTATTAATATATGCTACTTTTGCTTTTCAAAAAATTTCTCATTTATAGATCCTATGTCAGCTTTGACATTATTAGACGCGTATTAACTTCGTATTTCAACTATAACATATCTTATGCTATGAACATAACCGATATTGACGATAAGGTAAAACTAGCAAGTAGATAACCTTAGTATTGGTGATCATCTACGTTAATAATCATATCAGTTATGCTTAAAATACCCAATATTTGCTCTTATGGCTTGCATATGTGTTGATGCTACTTACCTTGATGTCTTCCTTTAGATCATCTTTCGGGCTCGTCGTAACTATTTAATTGATAACTATATCAGTAGCTCTCATCCAATTGATAGAATTATTGAAGATGCAAACGAAGCAGTTAAGGTATTTGATCAGATGTATAGCCGTTTTAGCAAATATTTCGATTTTGTTAAGAGCTGTAATTTCTATCGCTGATTATATATAATGGTAGTAACTATCATTATAGACATTCATAGTTAATTTTACTGAACTTAAAAATTTCTGAAACGGCGACGATTTAATATAATGTGTGTTGATGTTGCTGTATCCAGTGCACTTGACCGTATGCAATCTAAATATTAAAACTAAACATGATCAATTTCTTGCGAATAATATCGACTATATTTTTCCCGCTCATGTGCATCTTTATAACAATAGTTACTGGAAGATAAGATCCATGTATCGAAATATCTCGATTTGTTAACAATTACGGAAAAACTTACGGTTTGTTAATAACCTCAATTTTATGCTAGCTTTATATGTTTGTAGCAGTGAATACATTTTAGAACTCAGATATTTTAATTTGTTTTTTTAGGCTCAGCAAAATAAGATTAATACTACTAAGGATGGTCATCAATTGAAAGAATTAGAGAAAATCGGAAAAAAGGTTTAATGCTTGCATCGATCCAGTGTTACTAGGCTATAGATGATTATAATCTATGTTAGTCATGCGTCGTACAATCAAATTTCTTATCGTATTCTATTTATTGCTAGCTTTTAGAGAATAAAGCTGAAATTTTGAAAGATCCACAGCAACTTGCCATGGCAGAAGATAACGAAAAATTGGCTACTCTGGCTGAGAAGAAAATGAAAGTATGGCATTTCTGCTTTTTCATCACATTTCATCCCTTAATTTTTGTCATTGTATAATTTAGTTGAAGGAGAGTAACATTGCTCTAACTAATGATCCAAACAAGCTTGCAATGTTTGTGAAAAACAAGGTAAGATCTTTATGGCTTTATGACACTGAAAACAGTCCTCATTGAAAGTTTTGGTAATGATGTAAACGTAATATTTTGCTTTACATACCTTAAAGAAATGGTTGCAATTTCTTTCCTTTTACCCTTAATACCTCTTTAGATTAAAGCGGATAACGCTATTCAATCACTTAGTAGCGCTGCCATCGGCCAAAGTGACGTAAAGTCTGGCAGTCGTCTACAGGTAAATAAATATTGTTTCTTTCTTGTTAAAATCTTTCTTAAAAATCATCGTCCTCATCTGTAAGAATCATAGTTTTTGGTACACACTCGCACGCATTATTTATTAAATTATATTTTCGCTAGGAATTCTTTTCAGATATAAGGGATCCTTTATCAGAGCTATTAGATAAAAAGGTAAATCGTTACTTCTGCTCCGCCTTGGCACTAATGGAATGTCTTTTTGTTACTACTGTATGTCGCACGTTTCTAACTATGCATTTACATGTTCAGTTTGGGACTTCAGTGAATGATCATGAAATATTTGCACGCTTGGCTAGACATTGGGAAAACGATTTTAACGACGATATGAAAGCTCTAAATGTAAATAAATGCTGCAGTAATTTCTTAACTAAATCCGATATTCTCTGTAATACCACTTTTTTACCATAATATTTTTTTAACTTTGTATTAAAAGAGTTATCATTCCATACCTAAAGGTTCTTCCTGCTGATGCTATAACGCGAGTAAGTGAGTATGTACCGGAAGTTATTGAATTTGTACAAGGAATTATCAAAAGAAATTATGGGTGAGTATCATGCGGGTATTTAACATTAGACATAGGAAGAGATGTCCATGTGTAAGTAGCTTTAGCGAATATTTTATTTTAATTGTTTGCATAGGTATGTATCGAATGGCTCTGTATACTTTGACACCGTAGCCTTCAATAATAGCCCGGATCATCGTTATGGAAAGTTATTACCTGAGGCTATTGGAGATTTAAATGCTTTAGCTGAAGGAGAAGGTATATTTGCTTTCATTAAATTTGTCTTACAGATTAACTAACATTTCTGATTAATGTAGATAATAATAAGTCGAACAAGCTCGATAGTTTGATATGTGGTCTAAGCAATTTATCAAATTCGGATGCACATTTAATAGGTGAACTAAGCATCGGGGATGATCGGTTACGCGAAAAAAGGAGTCCGAATGATTTTGCTTTGTGGAAATGCTCTAAGCCCGGTGAACCTTTTTGGGACTCACCTTGGGGAAAGGTAGTCATTTTAGTAAAATAACTTAGAATCTTTCAATTTATGCCTACAAATTATTGAAAAACATTACTCAATAAATATTTTAAAGGGGAGACCTGGATGGCACATTGAATGCTCCGTTATGGCAAGCGCAATATTAGGCAAGTCTCTGGATATTCATTCTGGTGGCGTAGACCTAAAGTTTCCTCATCATGAAAATGAAATAGCTCAAGTCGAGGTAAGGGCGATTTTATGAATTGCTTAGTAAGTTGGATGGCTATTCTTACTTGTTATGAATCAGATTATTAGCTATAGGGCATTATCACTTATCATGTTGCTGAACTACTGCTAGTATAGAGTTTGCACATTACAATACTATAAGTGTAAAGCGTTCATATGCATGATTATTTCGTACATTTACTGTTTATTTGCAAATGTAAATGCCACGGTATTAACAGCGAACGAAGTATCTATTTGCTGACAAAATCCTTTTAAACGCATATTGTGATGGTCATGAATAGGTTTAATATTTCTCTTTTAAACTATTCACATGCGTAGTTATTGATAAATATATCATTTGCTTGCAAATTTAAATGCTACTGTATTACAGCTAATGAGGTATCTATTTGCTGACAACACACTTTTTTAAAGGCTTATTATGATAGCGATGAATGGACCAAATATTTCCTTCATTCCGGACATCTAAAAATAGAAGGCTGTAAAATGTCAAAATCCTTGAAGAATTTTATTACCATTAAGGCATGAACGTAATCGTGTTGCACTAATAATTGTGATTGCTGTATAATTACGATTTATTGTAATTAATGCCGTTATTTTTGTAACTCTTAACTTCTGTGCTTAGGAAGCCCTAAGTAAATACTCAGCTCGTCAATTGCGATTGGCATTCTTGTCTCATCCTTGGAATACTACCATGGATTACAGTGAAAATATGATGTCTTCTACTATGCAAACAGAAAAACTATTTCTGGTAAAAATGTTTCTAGTATTGTTTACATCTTATGTAGATTTAAGTCAATATTTCGACTGGTTGGCGGTTACATTTTAGGATTATTTCCTCTAGGAATTCTTTTTAAATGTTAAAGATATTGACCGCGTTTATTCAGCTCAAACCCTTAAAGAAGAGAAATGGAACTCTGCTGAATTAGAACTTGAAAAAGGGTATACAGTAGTTGTTACTTCGAGAATGGTGTTTTTAAAGTTTTATTAAACAGCTATTATATTTCGAAACCCAAGTTTTTGATGTCTTAATAAAAGTAATGTTTTCTTTTGCTGTATAATTGTAATTTAATAGATTGTGCCAAAAACAGAATAACATCCATCGATTTCTGTGTGGTAAGTAAACAATCGTAATAATTTTAAGTTACCATAAATTATGTTAAGTACAGTTTAATGGCTTCGGGATTTATCTCTATATTAATGTAGATATCTATGATTAAGATGCTGATAAATTAAAAAGTATTTATAATTTCTTTTGAGCAGATTCAATTAATACACCCGACGTTATGAAGGAATTGAAGGAGCTGATCAATCAATCTAATAGTTATATTGCCTCAAAACGTTCTCTAAAACAATCGCCTAACGCCCGTCTTTTGAAGAAAATTTCAAGATACATCGTAAAAATGTTACGCGTAAGCGGTGTACATATTTTAAAATACTGCAATTACTATCTAAATTAGAGTAATCATATGTACTGTATTTGCATTACTTTAAAAGATATTCGGTGTCACGGTGGATGAGATTGAAACGACAATCGGATTTCCTAGTTATACTGATAATAAAGTATGCAATTTATTCTTAGTAATTTACGAATTTATTGGTGTGATGGCCATAGTAAGTGTAATAACTGAGTTCAAATTTTGTTAGAATATCAACAAAGAAAATACCATTATGCCATATTTGACTGTATTGGCTGAGTTCAGAGCAAAAGTTCGAGATAGTGCTCGCTTACAGAAAGGTATGTAATACTATACAATTCGATGTACATTAAAGACTATTGGTCATGCAAATATCAATTCACCAAACATATTCTCACTTTATTCGTGGATGATATTATCATCTGTTATAGTTCCGGATCTTCTAAACCTCTGTGATGATATAAGAAATGACATTTTACCGGAATTGGGTGTGCGTTTAGAAGATTTAGAAGGTCTCTTTTTTTATTCATTTGACACCTGAATTTGCTTTTTAAGTTTATAAGTTATCAAATGGATCTCATTGTATAGATGGTCCCGCAATCAAGTTGGTAGATAGGGCAATTCTTTTAAAAGAGAAAGAAAATAGATTAATGGTTAATAAACGAACGTGAAATATTTGTGAATTTATCCTTGCAATTTCTCATACGTCTAATACGTATACAAGCAAACTTGTAATAAAAGAGGAAATCTTTATATAAATAATTTATAAATTAACTTATGTTAGGCAATTGAAGAAAAGAAACGTAAAAAAGAAGAAGCAAAGAGAAAACAAATGGAACTGAAGGTACAGCATCATATCATTTTAATATTCTAATATGCCGTTGTTGAATGCATTATATCTGACAGTATTCAAATTTAAAATTATAGGCACAGCAAGAATCTAAAATGAAAATTTCGCCTAAAGAAATGTTTTTAAATCAGTCGGATAAATATTCCCAGTTTGACGAAAAGGTATCAAAAATTTTATCTACGATCATAGGTGGCTTAATACATTACTGTAGTCGATAGTATCGTTGGGGCACGTTGCCTAAGCAAAGTAGACTAAAAATTTTACGGCGTTAGTTTTCGAGATGCCTGACGCTTTAGTATTTTTATTAGGGTATTCCAACTCATAATCACGAAGGAACTGAACTTAGTGGTAAACAGAAGAAGAAACTTCTCAAGCAGTATGAAGCACAAAAGAAATTATTTTTAGAATACCAAACTAAACAAGCTCCTTCAAATTAAAAACTACTAGTATAGAGCCAAACTTATTCGAAATCCTTGACAACATTAAGAGGGATTTGCGCTACAGTTTTAAAATGACCTGTACATCAGTAATTGAGATGAGATATCTGATATTAGGATATGATTTTAATGACTCGTACCGCAATAGTTGAATCCGATTTCATATTTTCGTGAAATGACAACATCGTTACTGAATCGTATTATGTTACGTAATAAATTTTTAAGAGAATTACTAATCTACTGGTGATTTTGTAATTTTTTCCTCATCATTAATTATTACCTATTCCCAATTACAATTTAGACGTTAGCTTTAGCTATCGCGCAGATAACTAGTAAAGCCAATATATTAAAATCATGACATATACAAGGCAACTGCAATCGCTTTTACAATAAACGGTAAAAAATGATCGCTAACCTCACTTCATATACCATTAAATTTTCACCTTAATTGCAGGTGAATGTTTGCTTTGAAATACGATATTTTTACAAGCGGCAGCATAATGAGCTATGTTTCCGTTAATTGCAACGTAAATATACTGTACATTGTACAGAGTTTACGATTATGTAACAGTATTGAGCGTTGAATTCTGTCGTTAAGCATTAAGCAATGAGAATGTAAGTTAATTTTATCGCCCTTTTTGAAGTAGTTTTTCAACGAATTTCTAACGTTATTTGAAGTGAGTAGTTTGTAAGCTTGTAACCGAGTCTGCGATTTATAAAGCAATGTATTCGATAAGCGTAACAAAAACAAGGACACAATTCAAAGAAAGAACCATTTTTAATAAAAATTTCAATCGCACATTAGTAGTAATCTGGTATACAAATAATGTAATTTCTAAGAATCTGATGTACTGTTATAAGAGATTAAAGCACAGAGTTTTATAGATAAACTTTATAGATATACGAGTATAATAGCAACATAGTGAATATACATATTATGTGACGATTGGATATAAGAACGTTTATGATATCATCATTAGTATTTCGCTATTAGGTATTTAGCCGTGACTACCTTAAAAAAATATTCAGTGTTGACAATTTCAAACGCGTATGATACCATACATTACGAGTAATAAAGGAGTTAAAATAAATACTTTTCGATGTAATACGAGTGTTGGTGATAAATGTTCAAGTGAGCAATTTCTGCACTTGCTGTCAATAGCAATCAACCATAGCCAGTTTTAAATGATAAGAGTATATTATGAGATTAGAATATGGACGTTAAAATATAACCTAATTACGTATGCTATACCATCATGAATGAGACGTATGAACATCCAACCTTCATTAAAACTCAAAGCCGTATGAATGAAAATATCTCATCTTCATCAGATGCTATAGGTATACTTTCATACGTAGTAAATGCATCTGAGATCAATATTAGCAGCTTGACGGATGAGCTATTTGCTTAGTTAAATAATTTAGTGGCGTTCGATTTGATTCGATAATTCTTCTAGCATAGTCTCATTGTCAATAACTGTTAAATTTCTGTTAATTATGAGAGAAAAAAATGAAATAAATAAAATATCCAGAATACGAATATGCAGAGTATTATTTGATATAATTGGTTATTAATCTATTCATATACTTGCTCTTAACTTACCTGATATATTTGTATTCTTTGATCGAATTCCTGCTGAGTAGATACGGTAATTTTTCGATAGCTACAATTTTCGTAAGAAAATATTATTACGTTTGGAAATCTTGAGTGCCAGGCCATGTTATTGCAGCATAAATGTATCAGCATAAAGAAGTACGGGTTCATTAATTTTACTTACTATATGGATGATCTTGAGCTTTCCTGAATGGTTGCAATCTTGCAGAAATTAGTCTCTGCGAGTTAAATCGAATGATCTGTTAGCATGAAGTGAAGCTTCACCACCGTCATTATTACACTTAATATGACATCGTTTTAACACCTTTTAAAACTAAAATGCTTTAAAAAATTTACTGATATATGATCTGAGTGCAAAATATAAATATTCCAATATTCAATTTTTATGCATAGCAGTAACTTTTGCATATATTTATTGATTAACGTAATGACTGCATTATTTATTATTTCATAGATTAGTTCTGTTCTAATTACAGCTATGAAAATAGACTAAAGTTGGTATCTCAACTAGGATCTAAAGGCCATGTCAGCACTGTTAATGTGCTTTCGCCGCCAAGAAATATCACAATCATTTATCTCATTAAAGGAAAGAATGCAGTATTTTGGCTATTCCGTTACTCTAATCGTGTCCAAGACTGACTAGCGTTTATTTCCAGGAAGTATGTGCCAGCACGTACAATAAGTAATTACATATAATCTACAAGAATTTCTTATAACGAGAAAAATTTGTTATTGCAACATAAATAGTTACAATAATGAGTTACATTCCGATGGACTCGTTAATCTAGTAGCATTAAGTACGTGGCTAGTTTTTCGATTCGAACTTACCATTTTTTCAAAGTTAATCAACTTGCTTTCTGCTTTGTAGGTTTCATTATTTGTATCAATAGCCAATAGATCTATTCATAATGGAATAATATAGTTAGATAATAATATAACGCTAATGTTTCAATACAATCGAAGGGATACTGCCGTAACTATAAATAGATACTTAAGTCAGTATATACGTGGCGACTTTTCAATTTCGAGCTCCAGTGGTAGTATGCACATATAATTAATCAGAGTTGCTATGTTACTAAGTATCCATAAGAAAGTGAATATTTTACCTCTAATTAAGAGCGGAGTATAAGGTATGAAAGGTGGCTTCATCTCTCCTTGTTTAAAATCAAGACGAAATATAGATTATCATCTAATTTTAAGTATGCCCCTGCTTTCTGATAGAACAGATAAATCTAGACAACTATATGGACATAGCAACATAGTCAGTGTCAACAATCCTAGACTGCAGTTGCTACATAATCCTGCTCACAAATCAAGTTGCTGTAATAGTTCTCGAGTTTATTGACTCGTACGCTCTCCAGCTATATAATCGAATATAATAACTGATTGACATACTTGCCATCGATCGATATGTTCTATAATTTCTTGAGGGGTCCTTAATATTGTAAAATTTAATACATATTAAAATGTGTAATTAAAAATCGAGATTACATCGAATATACACAAAATCAAATCTCTAAGTTCAAAGAAAGCTGTCAGATTTACCATAATACTCTGCAATTCCTTCATTTTTTTGTGTATTCTTATCTGAATTTTCTGTTCAAGGCCATTCATTTATAATTTAGGGAGTAGTACATAAAATAACAATAAGCTCCTATCTATATTAAGAGAGTTCTTAAAAGTCTATACTTCGACTGAGCAATTGGTAGTAGAGCAATCTATTAGAAATTACCTCAAATGTTTGCGTTAATCGTGTTATCGGTGTTGTAAGCAAAGCACCGACAATCGCTGTACAAGAATGAAGGTTATTCAACTGCTTACACCTTAGAGAATATATTTCGAACAGTTTTAATGTATTAAATAAAAGATATTTATTTTGTAATACTAAATGAGTCTAAAATAGCATATTTTTCATACTGTTCTGCGATCTTTATGAATTTCTTAATAACTTGAGCTCTCTTATACAAGTTCTGTGTTAAGCAGATTTCGGTTATTACCCAATATTCGATCTATTTATTTGAATAATGAAGAACGTATAGTCTAAAATACAAGACTGATGAAAAAACGAGATCTCCAAATTGCATATATGAACAGTCACGAAACAGTAACACATGCTACGATAAATCCACGTAAGCTTCTATGAGTCAAAATAATGGAAAATTTTAGCTAAATACGCACTACCTAAACTTACTTCGTTATATCTTCTGAGAAAATAATCCAAGTTGGTCGACAAGATATCTCTTCGATGATCACCATCGATATAACATAAAAATTCATGCTAATAGCCGGTTTATGTTTTATAACAAAGAGTAAAAACATTTTACAACAGAATTTTTAACCTTTACTTTCTAAAATTAAGATATAATCAACCATAATCTAGGTTTTCTAAATTTTTTAATGCACTACGCAATCCAGAATAAAGTTACAGCCTACACTAAAATATCTATTCGCTTCAATCATACCATAGTAATTTTGCTTAGTAATTCATAATCGTAGGCAGTCAAATGATGAGCAATAGCCGTAGAGTTTAAATTTTCAAAGTAAATTTGTTTATCAGGTGTTGAAATTCCAGTTGGATTTTGCAGTGATAAAGGGGTCTAATGATATCAAATGTTTTAACTGTTAAACATACTTTAAAAATTTTAGAATTAGGATTAACAATGCAATCAATAATTAAACTAGGAAATCTTACGCAAGTATCAACATGGCCTTTAACAGCTAAAAATAATTTGCTGTTGATTCCAATTTTACTAGCAATGGACTTTTCATCTTGCTCCAAGATTATGATTTCTGTTGAGTAGAATTTCAAAAGCAAATGCGAACATTAAATAACGTTATTAGAATTTAAAATTTAGAATTCAATACAATTCCTACACATACTGCAAAATCTGTATTAAATGCTCTTATCTAAGCTTTAAACTACAACCTTAGTCATCCTGTGCACGCTTAAAAGGGACGGTAACAATTCATTGAAATATGATAACGTCTTATGATGAGCTGTAGACTATGCATCTACAGTATTATATTGTTCTTAAACAAAGCTAACATTGGATTTATGATTAGATGGCACAGCCATTATCTTACCTTTATTAGATTTGACTTCACATAGGTAAACTTCATTTGTTGTCGATGAATCCTCCTTCATTCTTTTTTTTGCCTCAGCTATTATCTCTCTCACCGAAAACATAAAGGGAATCTGCTCTAAGGGAATTTTAGTATGATCACATTGATAGACATCTAGATTGACTATAAGTAATGGATAGAGAGAGAAAAGCTTGTTACCACGATACAGGGAAAGATCAACACTAATGGTCCTGGTTAGGAGTTAATAAATTATCTAACACAATTCAGAAACCACTACAGTACATAACATGAAAATAGTTTCCATTTTCCGTAATTAGTGAATTATTATCGTACTCTTGTCGCGTCCGGTCAGCGGTAATGGCGGATAAGGTACCTTATTTCGATACAGGCGATTTTCGCTCTCATACTAAAATTACATAAAATTTTCAACAATTACAGTCAAAAATTACAAAAAAATGAATTATTATGTCTACTTTCACGTAGGCCAGAATTGAATGGCTTTCCTATAATACCATTCTTTAGCGCATCAATTCAGTAGAATAAACACATAATCAAAGCTACATAAAAGTAAGTCTGCTCCAGTAGTTACCATAAATTCTAGCATAACTTCGACAATACGATCCTCACGATATCTATATCGAACATTAAATAAATAATTTTAGACAGGTTCAATTAAGTTTTTCAGTAATCTTTAAATCAGCATCAAGTGACATTGAACCAAAATAACAAATTATACTAATTAACTGCTATTCTATGATGAATTGTATAAGTCTTACAAAGATTCACGACATTGCGAAGCAAATTGAAGAGAAGTTGCTTCTTCAAAGGCGGCGTTGTCAACTAATTCTTCTCTTAATTCCTGAAACATAGGAGTAAAAATCTCACCAAATCAGTGCAAATAATTTAGACATTTTAATCCCTATACCAAAACGGAGGTTACATATTCTGATTTAATTAAATTAGAAAATTTCAAGGTTGCACTTACATTTATAAATAATACAGTTTCTGGGTCGTCGTTGAAGTAATTAAAATCCAGTAGATAAAATTGGATAATAGTATGGATGATCCTATAAGATCGTTTACAAAATATGTTGTAAGTTTATTGTAATTATTTCAGCAAATACAGAATATGGAATAAAAATTAATCGGGTAATAGTAGTATCAGTCTATCGCTCAAAATATCTTGGGCTATCACTAAAAAACAAAGAGACAAACTTGGCTTTAAATTCAATGCTATTTCCACCAGCCGTTTCCAAATTGGCTGCTTTCCTACGATAGCTGCCAATTAAATATTGTTAAAGGCCGTAATTAGTATAATAATTTGCTGTCTCTACTGAAATCTATCAACAATTTATTCTTAAATATATTGTCATCGTAACATGAGACCAAAACCATTCCATAAAATGAAGGCGACAAGATAATGGCCTGTATTCAATTTCGGCACTACTGCGGTATGCAGGTATAAAGTACAACAATACGAGTATTTTGCATTTTAATATTATAGGATACAGGGTCAACAACTTCTTATATAAGTCGGTCTTCGACATGAACAGCGGATAAGTAAAGTAAAAGTCAGGTATGAATTCACCTACACATAAAAATAATGAAAATTCCAGCAAAAAAGTTCAAATAAGACCCGAAGTAAAATGTGAAAAATTTAAAGCTCTCGTGTTAGAATTTAGTCATATCCATTATCTGTTATATATTTCTTACCATCAACTTTTAATCTTGTTGTATCTGTACTTCGAGTTTCGATTAGGTAATCTAATATTTTGTGGGGAGCGCCTTCAATAACTGATGATCTATAAAAAGCAACTGCATTTATTTCGATATAACTAACAACGCAAATATGGCACCTTACAATTTTCTAGTTCGAGATAAAACGCTGGGTACACGTAAAAATCTGAATAGCATTCGTAAAAAATTATTCTTACCCTTCACTTCCATGTTCGTTACGAGCAGTCCTTTCTAGGACTAAAACCTCTTTATCGTTTTCCTTTAATCGAATAATGTTCTTTTCGCAGTGCTATAAAAACATAAGATAATTTCATATAACATTTAATTTTTATCAAAAATTTTATATATAAGCGTTTTAATAAAAAGCCAGGTAGCAAGCTATACTACATATATTACAAAGAATAAAGAAAAAGCATCTATGTGGTAAAAAATATTAGCAATACTGTAACAAAGTTCTTCAAATAAGATTCATAAATCTATGAAAGTACTATCACATGAAATGTTTACTCAGAAAATTTATCATGTTATTACTTCAAAGAAGAATCAAGGCACTTCGTAATTGCTAGTACAGTAAAGTGATGATAACAAGTAATAATATTTTTAGACTGTATTTCATTATCAATATTTACCTGCAGAATTAAGTTGAAATCATCCTTATCGACTTTTGCAAAACAACAGTTATCTTGCTTGGTAATAACAGTTGCAGCCCTATCGATGACATACCGATATTAGTTTACTTATTGAAAAAGATAAATCCTACTACGTCTAACGTTTACACATATTAATTATATACTATACGAATCGTTTTTCAGCTGCTTTAATCGTTGCAATATAAAGTAATCCTATAAAATTATTAATCGTAATACTATCTCGCCTTGGTGCTCGATTAACCAGTGCTAATTTGCCAAAATCGTCACCTTCGTTCAACGAGCAAACTACACCCTGAGAATAAGAATGAAACGGTATTAATGAAATTTCTATACGTAATACAGTAAAATAAAGTGAAATTTTTCCGGCATAAGCTTTAAAACTAAAAAGGACTTTGTAACATTAATTGTTACGATATTTGATCATCAAAAAAGTATGGCTTTATCTTAATTGTTATGGATACTGGTCGTTCTCTTATAGCTTATCATTCAGGTTACAGACCAGTTCACGTACTTTACTTTTAATAAGAAGAAAATATAAATGATTCTGCTTACGAAAGAAACAGTTGTAGCCTTAGCGTTATAGAATATTTGCGCTATGTAGCTGATACATAATGTTAGGTGTACAAGTAAAACGCTATCTCTTTTGGTGATATAAGGGTGCATGTTTACAATTTTATATATACGTATGTATTTAATAGCGTTATATACTCACTAGTAACTATAATCTTTAATTTAGATAAAGTAAAGTGATATTAGCCTCTGATGAAGTGGCTGTTGTTTTACGATTTGCACGAGTGATGTCAAGTGAGAACGTGTAAATAACATTAAGATTAAGGCATAAAGTAATAAAGTAAGTACGAAAATTTATCGTTTACGCGTAAGAAACGGTCGATGCTGTGTCTGCAGTATAAGTCGAGTAAAAAGTATACAGTTATCAAGGAGTTTTAATCTCGACAAGCAGCTCAAGATTAAAATTAAATCAAAATACTGTAGATGCCTACGTGTATTTCGTCACAATGTTAAATATACTTAATGATGACACACTACTACATATAAAATATGAAAGAAATTAGAAAGAGTTGTCGCAATGGAACGTATCACAGCAATTAACAAATATCATACTAATACAGTATTAAAGAGGCACTTTAAATCAATTTCCTAATAAGGAAAACGCTCTTAGTTTCTATAGTTTGCTAACGTATTGAAGCTGCAATAATTTTAGGGAAGAATAAAGTTGATTGTTATGTCGGTCGCATGAAAACTTAATGAAATATTGGCTATACTTCATTGCAATTCACTATTTAGTTTCGGTTTTACTCCTACGTAAACATCTATGATCTTTACCTTTCCAGTTATAAAAACTTCTACGGATCCTTTTAAGATGATATACCAGGAATCTGCCACATCGCCTTGACGTATAACTAGAAATTCATTGTAATTTGAGTAATTTAAGAATAACATGTCATGATATTGACACTATGGCAGTACAAAGCTCCTGTCCATGCGCTATACGCAATTTTAAAATGTATCCCTCTCTGTCACATACTCATACAACAGACAATCAAGTGTATTCAATTTAGCGATACTTTCAATCAAAATCAGATTGCTGCTGTTACTATTATATGGTATTACTGATCGGAAGCAGATATTTATCGATTTGAAGCATTAAAGTAAATACACTATAACAACAGTAAAGATTGACAATAATTCTATAATTTCCATTTCATAAAAGAAATGTTGAAAAAGACTTGCTCTGCATTAACAGTTATATTAAGTTAATTATACAAGCATTCTTAAACTCTATTATATTAAAGCTCACGACGCTATCATATTAACCATACCGGTAGTTCCTGATTTTTTATAAGTTTCTAGAGTACAGATAGCTGCTAATCGCTTCTTCACCTATAAGAAATGACATTAAATTGCGATCCAGTTTTATGCGTTAATAGTTGTTAGTTTAAAAAACTTTACAATATCATAAGATATGAACACCTATAGATTGTATTATGATTCTAGTGATAATAAAATTTGAGGCTTTTAGTTATAGTTAACACAAAATAATATCACGTACACTGCCATAGTAAAGTTAACAGAAATCAGATTATACAAATTTGATACTTAACACTCACCATCGGCGACATTTGGGACACACCATCGATATTAGAAAGCTCTTTCAGTATAGCTTCTACATCTTGTTCCGTTCTGTCAGATGGTCTTAATTTTTAAGAAAATTAAAAATTAGTTTCATCAGTTTTATTCAGTATTTGTGATAACTTAGGATGTAATCCGAAAATAAGATATAGATGCTACGTTAATTTATCAATATAATTTACTTTTTCGATAGTAGAAGCCGTAAGAAAGCATCTGGTCCAATCTGTGAGAGAACGTTGATTGCAATATTTAATTCTTCATTAGTTATAGATCCATCACTTCGGGCAATCCGAAAACGATAAAATAACGCATCGCTGTCCTTAAATTGATGTTTCATACGTACTAGATCACATGAGAAGGGTGAAGATATTGCATTATTAACGATTTAGTTCTACTATATCACTTACATCTAATCTTCTATTATTCAATGAATACCAAGCTCACTAGTGGCTAATACTATTGTTATTGTGATACATTATACATCTTAGCATACCATGCAAACACAAGCAGTACAAAAGATAACATATACAGTATAGTATATACACAAGGAGTATATATTAGAATTGATACAGCCAAAATTGAGTATACCTTCAATAATAAAGTTCTACTACGGTTAATCTTAAAATAATCCTTCAACTGCAGATTAAACTAGGTTGTAAAGTTGTAACTATGGTTCAATCAACTTTTTCATTGAGATGTCAAATTGATGATGTTAGATACAGTTAAGTTAAAGTGAATACTGCTATTAATGATGTATTAATGACGTCAACGTACCAACCAAAAGACTAATTGTTACTTCAATTTTCAACACACATAAACCTCGTCCCAGCATTATTGTTTATAAAATAATGTATTACGTCTATGGATTATATACTAAGTTTATTTTATTATTATGTTAAATGCGGGTTTAGATCAAGTCTCATAATAATGATACTGGTTAATCAACTGGCTAGTAAGTAAAGATGTAACAAATGTACGGTTATTGAATTATAAAATTATTACCAAATAACTGACTTACTGTGTGTATTTCCTCACCTAAACGCACACAGAATAATTACTATTTAAGACTACGGAATAAGCAGTTACAGCAAGTCAGAGAACCAATTAAACTTCTATATTTCAGTAAGAAAATGCAACGTTTAAAATATATCCACAGACGTTGCTTCAAAAAATCGATCTTTGAATGACTTGTTTTTCAAGCATGCAAAAATAAAAATGTCTTAACTGCCAAATTGTTTATAATAATTAATTTAAAAGGTTAAGGCGGTAAACTATTAATTTCATTCCTTTATACGCTTAATCAAGTAACGTTGTTTGCAGCCTATAAATAAAGACTGCAGACTTTATTGATACCCTTGTCGTTTACAGCAGCGGAAAATTTCGTTAAGTACATTGCGGCCATTATAACAAAGATTTTGAGACGAAATTTTATCCCTTCCTACCATATTACGAGTAACATAGTGTGATATCTGTCTAGAATCCCAATGATCGGAAGAGGGCTTAAGTTTATTTATAGTTAATTTGACAGCTACTTTATAACATCGACGACTACAGTAAATTTAAACTCAATGATTACTAATCTTTTGGTAATCAAGATATAGCTCAATTAATTTCCCATAATGTTTAAAAATGACGTCATTATTCGTTCAATCGTAAATTCGTTGACAATAGTATTATTATATACTACGCCATATTTGTTAGATTGTACGATGTAATTCTATATACAGTGTCAGTCAGTCATAGTACGGTTAAGGTTGCTTTTGTGCGTTTGCGCTAATTCGATAATACCTAAAGTTAGTACGTTACAACTTGCTATTGTCACCGGTTACATAATACTTGTGTTTAAATAATTATAGTATTCTATACATGTAACATACACTTGTTAATTCTACGTGTTAATGGTGGATTGTACCGCGTACACTAGGGAATTCACTGTTATACAAACTTATAATTATAATGCGTTGTAAGTGTGAACGGCGTACGTATATAAGCCGCCATTTTTTAATACAATAAAGAGAGAACAGAGTTAGTAGATAGTTTTACAATAACTTCAACTACGTGTTCAATTTCTTGTCTTTATGCTAAGTGCTCTAGAGTAGTACGAACTTTCAATACAGTTGTTAGTATTAACTCTAAATAGTAATACACAACAAATACTATGAAAAAAAACAAATTTTACATCAGATCGCAGCAAACTAGGTAATACGATGATTGCAGTACCGTACCGGTTATTTATGAGATTTTTTATAGCATAAACGACGCGCTGCTACCGATTAGCTGCATAAACGTAAATATCAACAATTATACAAGACGCAGTATTCTGTAAATTTTGCAGTAGCAATTGGCTGTTCAGTTAATACTGTACATATCTACTTTACAGTATATTCTTGGTTAAGAAGCAAAACAGTGTCTTGATCTAGTATCAACTAGCAATACCAATGCTATTATAATTGTAATAATAAGAAATACCCAATGGGATGTCAGTAAATAAAACTTTGAAAGCATTAGCTTTTTAACTGCTTTTAAGAATTATCTCGCTTAAAATTCAACAGTGAAGTCTCTAAGTAATTCATTTATAGGAATCGTTCGATTAATTCCTTTTATTCCACTAATTACGAGAAATGAAGCAACCACGAATAAATCACTACCGGCAATGTAAGGAAATGGCTGTAGGCCAATTATTTCTTAAATAAAATGAATGAACTGTAGTAACTGAAATATTCGTGGAAATTTTTAACAAGCGTTTATACAAATTCATAACGAATTGTTATTAAAATCATGTGCGACAGCCGTTAAAGCCATCCTTTTTTCAGTATAAATGTAGATAGATATAAATAAAGGCCTAATATCCGATTAGTTGTATTATTTTAACCGAAAAAAAAGTTAATCTATTACTCTGCCATTATCAAACTATAGTATCATAAATTTGCTAGCACTGATATGACAACATTTAACGGAAGAAGACCTACGAGATAACACTTAAAGGAAAAAATTAAAACTCGTCTCTAAAGTATACTTGAAACTAGCAATCAGGCGGGAATTTAAGTTTTAACAGCTTAAGCAGCAATGATTACACAGCTCAAATTACGAGCGTACTTCGGTTTAGGGTATTTCAATATTTAGTGGTTGAAACTCCTCTATTAATTCATAACTGGGCCATGGTACTTCGCTTAATTATACTGTTATTATAGTAATTTTTACAACTTCAAATAAAATAAAAAAATAGAACTAAACAACAGATAGCAAGACGATCCGAAAAAGTTTATAAATTATGATAATTGATAAGTGAAACTAGGATGGATGTAGTCTTATCAGGTGCTAGTATTTGGTGGGGCAGATAATCTCCATTATCAATCCGCACGTAAATTGATTAATTTTTGCTACTAGTAGAACACCAGCATTTACTTTAGTACTGTACTAGACTGCACAGAATTTTCTCCTAGTCGAATAACTTAGTTACCATCTTACCATTTTCTAAAATTTCTTCCTCTACCAAAGTTTGCCAAATTCCTACAGCATGATCTCGATGATTTAACATAGAAGCAACCGACATCAACCAGTCGACCAGTTCGGAACCGACGCAACATTGTTTGTAGACAACGTGATGAAATACTTTATCTTTCATCAGTTGAGGAAATTTCTTTTTAAGGTGTCCATACAATAATCTACCAGCATCTTTTACGCTCATTAGTGGTTGCTGAGTAAAATAGTGAGATTGATAAAGATCTTTATAATTTACGTATAAAATTGACATACACAAAAGTATATGCCAGACATTACACAGTCTACAGTTAACTCTACTTCAATTATATTAGTTTGCAAGATTTTTTGCAAGATAGAAAGAATTCGTCCAAAAAGCTACACCGTAGCAAATGAAAATGTATGCAGCTTACATATGATAGCGTTATAATAAAGCTTTTAGTAATTACCACGTAAAGATAACAATAGCAATACTGTATATCAAAATAGAAGGGACTTGCTAATAAAATTGACTAATTGACTTTATCAATCTAGTGATGTCACTCTTACATAAATCTAGCTCTAGTAAAAAACTGCAGTAGTTGCTTTCAACATTGAAAATTTTAAAGATAAATATACTGATATAAAATCATATAATAAGACCAAAATTACTTGGTAAAAGTTTTATGAATATCACAGGAAGATATACAGTACCATTACTGAAATTATAGCAGTTATTAATTGCCCTGGTAATCCGCAAAAGTGGACGTATTAATATAATTCTTTGAAGTAGATGCACCCTATGTCTATAGTATTTAGTTAACCGATCCAGGAAGTAATGTTGAAAGTTGCGAACTTGCTATCAAGTAGCACGCAGCATTTTACACTGTATTATGTATCAACTTCTTCAATTAATATGATTTAAGAGTTAGAACTAAATTCAAAATTTATATTATTTCGATGGTAGATTGTATAATCATTACAATCCATAAAAAGTGTTGACATGAAATGACCTACAGTAGTCATCAAACTTGTGGAATCGCCTTTATTCACCAACATTATATTTACGCTTAATCATGTTCTGGCATGCAATATTAATCAATAAAAAGGACTGGAGAAAGATAATTTATACGATGTACTTGATAACAATAATATGATCCTCAAGATATATTTTACTAGCTAATAAACTTACAACGCGTTGATTCGGTACTCTAATGGTGCTACGATCGGAGTTTCTTCTAATGAATGACTTTTCAGGATTCTTGCAATATTAAATAATCGTATTATTAGTCAGTAACTATCAAATGGTTAGATTTTTTTGCATATTAACACAGTGCCAACAAATCTATAACGCTACACAATTATAGTTATTCCATTAAACTCCAGTAAAACTTAGCAGATAAAGTACACCATACTGTTGCTTTAATACTAGATTGCAATGCCAAACTTGGGATGTTATCTGGTAAACATATCAACAATGTGTGTAAGCAACGCCTTACTTCTTCCTTTCCGCGGGTACCAATCATGCTTTCTTTACCGATTAAAAAATTATAGAAAGAATATAGTATAGTTACGCCATAGACATTTGCTACTTTTACTTAAAGATACATTTAGATTTAATGCCAATTATGACAAAATTTAAGATAATAGTAAAATACTAAGGTTTGCAAGAAGTAGCTAAACATATTTTAATTGTAAATCCATTTACTAAATTTAAAACTTTGGGGTCAATTGATCATCTTTGAAATGATTGAAACTAGTTATTTAAAAGATACTAAAGATATAGAGTAATTTGATGTACGTTTTATACTGGCATAATTATGAGTTGTAAGAGACTACAGGACACTACTAATGCCTGTTTTTCTGATAAAGCTAATTTACAAACCTTCGGGGGTAGGTTTTAGGATTTCGTTACGATAGTCCTAAAAGAATATGACAGTTTGTAAATAAATGAGATGGATAATAAAAATTATTACTGTATCCGTCGACATTAATTTAAACTTGAAAATACTGGTACGCCTAAAATACAATGTACTAATAGGAATGAAACTGCTGTCGTTGCGGTCTGATAGTCCGTTCGTACGATTCGTATCATTTCTTACATCAAACAACATTTTAAGATCAGTTTTGTCCACAAGCAGAAATTGACAATTTTCCTTCGTGATAACGGTAGCGCTCCTGTAATCGTATCGAGTCATATTCATCAGTCCTTATCGCTAACGATAGAGAATTTTAACTAAGAGGTCACCAAGATAATCAAGCTCAAATTTGTTATGGCTATAACGACTTATGGGCAATGCTACATGTAAGACTAATGGCAATATTGTATTGAAATCATAGTATTTATTAGGAAAATAGAGATGATAATCTTTCCGGACGAAAGTAAGGTTTAATTACAGCAACACAAATAAAGTTTTTTTTCATGAAAAAAACGTATAATGACCTTGGATTATCGTTGCGAACACCAGCACCAAAATCCGATCCTTCTTCAAGGATATCAACGACTTTTTCACCCTAAATGGTCCATTAAATGAATTCGGAGAGATTTAGTTCCAATTTTGTTAATTTACAAAAGTGAGTAGTTGCAAACAAGATTCTGTTTACGTGTATAGTTTATTATTCGCAGGAAACGACAGATATTTTTTAGTCAAGTTTATTTTATCCTACCATTTCCAAAGAGCTACTGTAATATTATTAGACAATATATAATGTAATAAAAAGTTGATTCTAGCAACATAGATTACAATATAGGTAGCAATTTTTTTATCCTGAAATCGGATAAAGTAATCACCTTTGAGTCTGAACTTATCACATACACCGATCCGGAGAGGATGACATACCATTTAGTGCCGCATTCACCAGCACGAAATACTTTTAGAATTGGTAGAAAAAAAGTTTCACTCTTTAACAACAGCAGTTGTAATACCGAGATAAAGAATGAAGACAATAACTTCGTGCTATAGATTTAGAGTCTGTTTGTATACGTAGACATTCACAGTAAATGATTGCAACAGCATTAATGGTAATTGTTTGTCAGATGAAAATAATTGTTACTTTGTAATCTTTTATCCAAGTATGTAAGCTCTAACATCTATTTTAATTTTTTCTAACTTATAAACATAATAAGCAAGGCTACTACACTTATACAAAACCGAATAATTTTATTTCGTAATAGTGAAAATAAGCAAGTTTTCATAAATTTTTTGCAATGATAAGTTGGGTAGCAAAATTGTAGTATTACCGACTAAAAATTGAAGTTATGATAATTTCCTGTTTGTGAATGATATTCGTAGAAGGCGTTGCGCTTAATGCTTAACTATCAAACTGATTTGGCTATCTTCTTGCATATGGATAGCTACATTATTTAGGTTATGTATAAGAAACTTCAATACAAAGATAAGCGATTGTTATTATTAGTATTTAACGCCCTTTCTTATTGCCTTACATTTTACGCCACGTTTTAAGCTCTCGTGAGTAGCATACTGACAAATTCGCCGTAACAATTCCTCAGGGCAGTCCTTTAATGCAGTCAATTCCTATTTGTATTTTGAATTCAATTATCAATAACAATGGTTGACCGCAATCGCTGTCGTCGTTAGGAAATATATCCACGTATTGAAAACAGAACAGGTACACTACAATAGCTTAGTAATAATAAATGATTGCTATATGATAGTCTACGTTAAACATTAAAAGGCAATGGAAATAAAGGTCTCTTTCTGGCCAATAATCTACTTTAATACTGGTAATGAATAACTGCATTAGAAAACATTCAAAAATAATAATGAAGATATTTTCTGATACTTTACAACACTAAGCATAGAAAAACAACTTTTTCTAGATTTCATTTCTATAATATTATTGATAAAATTATTCAACTGATGATATAAAAGGCTATTTACACAATTGGCGTCTGTTTGCTCACCTTCAACGAGCACAACAGTATTTCAAGATCAAGACTACTACGCTCCGCAGTTCTGTAAGGACAATAAGAATGATTACTTTTACTTAATGATATAGCATCATATTTGCATCGTCTCATTGATTTTTCAAAATTCAAAGCATGATCTCATAAATAATAAGTTTCGAGTTGCCAAGGTAACCTAGTCGATGGGTGTGAATTAAAATAGTGTTTGCCGTCAGTGATTACCTGATTGGTAATTGACATAAGTGTGTTAAACTTGTTCAAATAAAAATTATGCCCAGTAAATGTACATAATGCAAGGATTGAAAATATACGATTAGATTGTTCTTGAAACTTGATATTACATGAGTACTGTATTATCAATTAGCAACGTTAATCTAACCTGCTATACTACTATAAGTTGAGTTTAGAAGATAGCAGAATAATATCTACGAAAACATAATAATTCTCTTATAATTAATTATACAGCATTCCACCACGGAAATGCTATGAAGGAAGTAATCATTGTTAATGACGAAAGTAGCTTTCATAAAAAATAAACTGGCTAATTTTCTCTTCACTGAGAAAGTAATTTTGGATCTTGATTGTAGAGATCCTAAGAAAGGTAAAGGTAAAAAAACAATTTGTTCTATATAAGTTATGTCAATCCCCGAAATTGGACAATTATAGGATTGTCCTATTTTCCGGGATTTGACCACAACTCGTGTTCGTGTTCGCATTAGTTAATCCTAGGATTGTTCAATTTCGTCAATTGCAATGATAGCAAAACAGGATTCAAGATCGCTAATAAGTAAAGCAATATGGCAGTAGCGACAAGCGTACAACTTCGCTTGAGCAAACCGGAATATCAGGCAGTTATGAAGCACTGCTATAAGTTATTTCAAATTAATAAATTAATAGCCACTAAACCGAGATTGATTCCTACTCTTGCAATACTGTATGCGGACGAGTAGGATTAACTTGATTTGTCAGCAATAATTCGACGCCAACATGCTATCTTATTTTTTAAGTTTATTTAGCAGCGTAATTGAAACTTTCATATAATGCTAATTTTTTACGCTTCGTTGATAATTTATAATTCATTAAATGCGCTAACAAAAATAACAACAACAAGCCCACCAAACTAGTGGTTACAAGCCACGATGAATTAAAATAATGGCCAAATATTATCTCATTGAGAATTTCATGGCTAGCTTTAGATTAAAAGGATGATGCATTATAATGCAATCATTAAATGTTAAGTAGTCCTAGCTGTTGGTTCATTCGGCCCATTTTTTATGACTATGGTCTATCGCTTAAAATGACTTTGATAACAGTAGTCCTTGTGTATAGTATTATTATTATTAAGGAAGCGTGGGAGATATGGAGAAGGGGGAGTAGGGTAAAATTTGTTATTGAGTAGTCCATGATAATAGTACTGTGCATTAGTTTGTAAAATAGATTCCAAAAAAAGGAGTATGAAACCTGTACTTTGGTCCAGGTGGCAGAGCAATTGCTGTCTTTTTGAACGGTATTCAAGTCTGATCGATAGATTTTTACCAGCGACATGTACTCGTACATGCAGTACATACTCCAGTCCATAATAAAAATATTTAAAATAGACTTCAAGATTGAACTCTACTGCATTTTCAACGATACTCAATGATGATGTGATTAGAGTATCTTCTAATCATTTCCAGTAATGGTAACAAGTATGAATAGCAATTATTCATTGATACGCTTATACTAGTGCTCGACTTGGCTCATTAATGAACTGAAGGTTTAATTAACAAGTGCTAGCTCGAACTTGGCTGCTGTAGTGAGCGTGTCCAGTAAGTTAGTTAGTCCATTTTACTGCTTGGGTTTATCAACTCGTCTATGATGTGCTGTAGTGAGTGTGTCCAGTAAGTTGGTTAGTCCATTTTACTGTTTGGGTTTATCAACTCGTTATTGATGTGAGGGGTAGAGTACGATAGAATGATTGAATCTCGCGTGCCATCATTGTAAGAGAAAGGAAAGCGACTAATTTTTATAATAATTTTAATATACTGTATATAGTAGTCACCAATTTATACAGATTGGTCATATTGTCTTTGCAATTTACCTTTTCTTTAAGCAGTCAATCCACTCCACCATCATGTTGATTGTATCGGAAGCGAATCTGTAGCCAGCGGTCAGAACCGTACTCGATTTCTATTATTAATTGTTATTTTCTCTGCAATGTGGCCTACTCTTCCTCCACCGAATATTAACAATCTTCTGGCACACTATACAACTTTAGCAAGACAATTTCAAATTCACACTGATACAGCAATCAACAAAAATGGTCGACTTCAATGCCATTCTAATAATGCGGCTGATTGATGTTGTTGAACTTGAAATATTTGAATATGTAGAGGATAAAATGTGCCTTTACTTACATCGAGCGCGCCTACGGTACAACGTGTTGTTCGTGTCGCCGTGTAACACCTGTCGCCATTGGCTAACCTACGTGCAACACCATAGACACGACACTGCTGACTGGACACGTCATTACTGTCGACATACAGTACCGACAGTCATTCAGTAGTGTAGTGTTAATTAAATGACAAATACGTGATAAGTCATGTGATAACGGTTGTTTTCTATCCAATACAATCGTATTTGTTGACTGGTTTAGAACTGGCTGCCTGTACGTACTGGTACTATTATGGTTATCATTTCGGAGCGGTCATTTGTCACAGTGTTTCATACTGAATCAAGATTAACAAGTTACTTTCATATGGAATGTGGCTCAAAGCTTTTGGGTAATGTACATTGTACAGTACTGTAGAGAGAATCGTTCAGCAGATCTGACTGGATTGACTCTCACTGTCCTAAACAAATTTTTATTTTTAAAGAGTATCCATTTTACAGTGACTTTACAGTCTGTACTGTACATTCTGTACTGTACATTCTGTACTGTACTGTACTCACTGCTATTCATTCAAGTGCACAGAACACTCAAAAAGACCATGATGTAGGACAGTATTACTGTACAGTAGACTACCAGGAGTCCAGGACTACAGTACTGTACTGTAATGTACAGTACAGTACAGTATAGTACAGTACTGTACTGTGCAGTGTAATGAGCCACTACAGTACAGTATACTGTAGCTGTACAGTACTGTACTATACTGTACACTGTAAAGTGTACTTCATTACTTGAGGCTGAAACCCTGACATGAAACTCGTCTGATCCAAGAGTGTCGCATATGAAACTTCTTGTTACCGTTTACAGTACAGTACAGCATAATTTCTAGCTGGCCTGGCCCTGGGATACAGCGGTACTGTATTGTACACTCACTGTACAGTATGACATGAAATGCCACTTTAGATTCGGAAGATTGTACAGACGTCCACAGCTCAGGTTGCTGCTTCTCTCGTCAGCATAGCCAGATTATTGCTAGGCTGACCGATCGAAACTGCATTGGCTTAGAGCGTTAGTATGTGCTCATTGTTGACCTCCCTGTTGTTGGCCGCTGCTGAACCCAACCAAAGAAACCTTTAGTGAATCATGCTACACCGCCTGGGAGTTGTTCGACATCGTGTAATGCTACACACTGTCGTACGTTCCCCAGCAACAAGGCAGCTGGACAAGCCGTCAGTAGCGTTGCTGCACAGTTCTACCTTTTTAGCATCCGGTAAGCTTACTGCTGTGCTTCCATTAAAGTGTTCAACTCTGCAATTTGTTATTTTGCAAGTGATTGCATGACCTCAATGTGATTCTTTCTTTCATGGTGATCGGATTTTTCTAATTTATATTATGCTTATGAGAATGAATTATACTTACTGTACTTGTACAGTATATCCTGTCTTTGTACGAATTATTCACATTCTTACTCTTCAGACAGTACTACATTATACAGCGCTTACCTACCGGTTTCTTGTGCGGAAAATTTACTTGAAAGTATTCACAATGGACTGTCACTACCTTGGTGGATGACTATAGCTGTGACGACGATTACATTAAGAACATGTATCACTTTACCATTAACAATTTATCAGCAAAAAAAGTCCGCAAAATTGGTGTTGCTACAGCCTGTAGTCAAGGAGATAAGCGAAGCGGTCAAGTACAATGTAGCTACTAAGTGCCGTCGCGAAGATCTACCCGTAGAAGTTGCTGAAGAAAGATATAAGACCTTAGTAAGCGATTGATACTTTCATTTTTAGCAGTTAATGCGTACTCGTATAATAAGTAGGAAACATTCTGTAATCATTCCATCGTAGACTAATATACTCGTACAGTAGAACGATAACATACGTATTAGGTATTAGATTGCTTTGCTTGCTTATTGCATAGTTCAGTGGAATGGTACGAGATTTATACAAAAAAGAAGGATGCCAGCCATTTAAATTATTTCTGCTACCATGGACTCAGATGCCTTTATGGATCTCCATTTCATTAGGCCTGCGTGATTTATCCATTTATAAACAAGGTTGGATTAATAGAAGTCCTACATGAATGTTGCTTATGATACTGTAACAATACTGCTATACAGAAATTATAATTTCAAATTGTTGGCAGCTCCAATTTCGCGGATAACTAACATTTTTATTGGGCAGATCCCGCTATGGCAACTGAAGGCCTTGCTTGGTTTTCAAATCTCCTACTACCCGATCCTGCTTGGATCTTACCAATATGTTTTGGTCTGTGTAATCTTTTAAATATCGAGATAAATGCCGCAGGTCGACAAGCGCCTGGCAGGATTCAAGCAATTATGAAAAAAGTTTTCGTCACATTATCTATTGTCATGGTACCGGTTGCTACACAAATACCTTCGGTACGTTTGCTATAGTAATACATGATGCTTCTATACTTGCATTAATTATCTACCTTTCAAAAATGCATACTAGTTACGACTATTTATCTACCATGTCATGAATTAATTCGATATGTATAATTTATCTTTTATTCTCTTGTAGTGTATGTCGTTTTATTGGACTTTATCCAGTTTTTATAGCTTAGTGCAAAATAGTATTTTGATGTTACCAAGAGTTAAAAGAATTGCACGTATACCACAAACTCCGAAGGAAAGCAAGCATCCATTTAGAGACTTATACGCAATATTTAGTATCAGAATGAAAAAATTTATCCAGTTGCAAAAGCAAGCGAATAGAAAGTAACGGTCATAAAATTTCTATTGCAACTATTATTGTTATAGTAAGTTAACTTATAATTGCATTTATACATAAATAATATTATCATTACGCAGTACAGATATTACAGAAAATATTTCATTGTCTTAAACTGGAAAGGTACAGTTACAGCCTATAAAACTCAAATTTGTTACATTTTATATATATAACATATATACGAGTATGATCACTATGTGTACAGGATATATACTATGATTTTTTTTGTCTGTATATGTCGCTAAGCTCTGTGTAATGTCACGGTTTCTTTTTGTGGGTACAGTAATACAGCACATGTACACTTGTACAGTAGCATTAAAATTCAATTCTGGGCTATCTGAGAGTGAAAAGCTGATATTCTAAAGATGTCTTGCTGCATTAGCATGTCTTACTATTCAAAACTTCTATTTGAAAATTATTGAAAGGCAATATTGTGATATAGTGTGGTATAACTGCGCCAACGCTTTTTTAATACAGACAGCTAAACCTGGGTTAGTTGTTCTTCTATTTTTATTTACGAATGCAAAATTTTACCATTTCATTTTCTATTAACAATAAAGCTTCGAAGATTCTAAACTCTATTGAAGTTAGTAAATAAACTGTACTCTATCATACAGTTATTCCTAACGTGTTTTCAATGCATTCTTTGCATATTAATGTGTAAGGTACTGTTCATAGTTCAGTAAACTGTTGACAAGTACGGTGATTAATGATGAAGTCTTCTCTGATAGGATGAATTCACGTCACAAAGTGACATGTTGCTGATTTTAGTGCTCGGTACAGTATTTTTAGCGCAGTATTTATTATAATGTGAATGAAAATCGTTCCTATTTTTACAGTACTGTATGGAATAGGTTCAGAGTCAGTTGTGGGTTGTGATACAATCACCACAACATTTATATTTTGAGTCACATATTGAACAAAATATCAAGAGTAGTCGTAATCTACCGAAATTTTTGTAACATTACGATACAAAATAGCAAGTGTCCGATGATTTATGTGAATAACTCATCCATCACACCATCTTAATGCCTCAAGATATGATTTTGTTCTTTTGCAGACCTGTTGCACCGAGTGCGAACTTTGTAATACAAATTAAAAGGAAATCAATTAAGTGGCTCACACCGTTCAGCTTTTATAGCTAGAAATTGTAACAGCAAGACTTTCATTGCTCCGATTGCAGTTGTAGATATCTAATCCTTATCACTATATACTGTAGGCAATAAAAGGAACTGTATCATGCATTTACTCCTGCAGAGGCTTTAAAGATAGCTCTCTTTCCTTGTATACAATCTGCTAGAAATAAATACTAATTAACAGTAAATTAATATTTTCTAAAAGTAATCTGCATAAAGATAGGGCATCTCTACCTGTATCGGCCTTGCTGCAGACTACAGAGTTTGGACAGTAACGAGAATAACTTCATTTAAGCGCGTATGCGTAGCCTACCTTAATTTACAGTACTGTATGCTGCGTTGTAAATTAGCGTGTAGACTACTGTGCAATGTACTGTACTGTACTGTACTATACTGTACTGTAGTCTGTAGTGCAGTATTTTCCAGTGCTGAACAGGGGCGTGGCGAGCCTTTTACAATGGTTGAGCTCTTAGTGTTGTCTTAAATTATGTCTTTAAATTTTGATGAAATGGGCTTTAGAATTGGCTCAAATTGCATGCATACAGCTCAATACAATCTTGAGCAATTGGCTATTGATATTTTAATTACTTTTTATTGTAGTATTGAATAATTCTATTTCTTTTAAGTTTATAATACTAACTATCAGTCGCTGATACATGTACCGTCGCTTCAACCATTTTACAAGTCACGTCGTAATATCGGTCTTACTGCACAATGTGCAGTACTGTATACTGTACAGTACAGTACGCAACTGTACTGTACATTAGTGTACAGTACAATGTACTGTACATACTGTAGCGCTATAGTGGTTTCATCAGCATCCGCCATTCAGCAATTTGCACTTCTGGTGAGTTTGCGGTTAGTTCGCCTCATCGCGATTATTCTTAAAACATAGACTGTAGTTTTATTTACCTGCACAATATATTTTTTCCCCATGCCGCCACATTATGGTTCTATATTCAATGGAAAAGTACCAACACAGCATAGTGCTAGTAGCAATTTGCCTGTTATGTCATGACACCATTTTGATGGTTAATTCATTCAACTTGACTCGGATTGGAGAAACGATCGGTCAATTAGCCGATCAATGGGCTAATATTGGTAAAGTCGTTGACCAAGTATTGCCTTGCCAATTTACTTGCCCACATGGTAGGTGAATGAAATTTGAAGCAATGCTGGATATATGACTGGGATCAAGTCAATTTCACCAACTAGATATATCAATTTTTCTACCATCAACTTGGTCCAACGATTTATATAATACGTACTACAAATTATTTCTTCATAATCGATAGTTAATCCAGCTGTCTGGCTCTCAATTTAGTCAGCCACATAATTCGGAGGGCCTGGATTAGATTCGCTACTGTATTACTTACTCATACCATGCCAGCTATCTTTGATACCTATGTAATATTGTATTGTTGCTTGAAATGTTTATCATTGTTACTTTACTTTTATTATAAAAATATTACTCGTATAGTACAGTACATGGGGATCCTCAGAGTGGCTTCCTGTTGTTTATATACCCTTACACTACAGTAGTAGAAACCCTAACTATAATCATATATTAGCGTAGAATTTCTATACACCACTATAGACACAATCTTTAATGCAAATCAATTATGTAAATTAATCAATTTTAATGCTATGTGTATCATCAACAGGTCAAAAACTAGTCAGAAGAGACGGTGCTAGACCCATGCCAAACGGTTGCGGCACCGATAAATTTCCGGTAAGACAGGAATTGAGTACTCCTGCACCGCAATTTTGGGGACTTTATAGTTGTATAGGAAAATAATGCGATGATTCACAATGCTATTTTTGTACAGGTTGATATATCGTTCATCCCAGGAGCTACTAGTTGTTGTGATCGTCACGATATTTGCTATTCTAGTTGTGGCGTAAAGAAGAGGAAGTGTGATGATGAATTCTTCAATTGCTTAAGCAAAATTTGTGATATCAATTACAAACATGAGAAAGAAGCGCCAATGAAAAGTCATTGCAAACAATTTAGTCAAATAATACATTCTACTACCCTTTCACTGGGTTGTGCACCCTTTATAGAAGCTCAAAAGCAAGCATGTCACTGTATAGCCATAAATCGAAATCAGGACGAGTTATAATGTTTATATTATGCCAATAAAATATCATTGCCCATACCACGAGACTCGCTATACCTAAAAGGATTCCCACCTGATGAAAAAATTCTGCTTTCTACGGTCTGAAATACGTATGAAAAGAAATCGACTAATCAGTATTATATTTAATAAGATATTAAAGATAGATTGATTCTCGATCAGTGTTACGACATGATTCCTTTAATACTTTGCGTATCCCATGAATGTAAAGTAAATATAATTCTAAAAATTTATAAAATATCGTCTATTTGCTGTTGATATTTATGGGAAACATATATCTTCCCTCTGATTCTATTGTGTAATGCCTGTGATTACCCATATACTATAGCAATTCACCCATCAAAACTGATGGATATCTAGGATAAAAAGAACATCATCGACAATATTTCGTAACTGCATCGATTCTAATATTGCAAGGTATGTACGTACAGAAAATTAACATACTATTCTGTTCTCTTTACGAAACTTTATTCATTCTGTAGACTAAAGCTACAACTACCATGTCCGATAATCAATAATTCTCAACTCACATCTACAGGAATTTGTAGGCTATTGCTGTTTTACTAAGAGTAAAATTTATTCTTGCTTTACTCGTATGTCGTCTAGAACTTTGTCTTTCAAAAAACTACTGAGAATACGGACAGAAACTTGAATTTTTCTAATTATATCTCTCAAGTATTCCTGTAAATTTTGCTATCTTATTCTTATTCGTAAAAGAATTCATAAATAAAATATTTTTCAGCCATCCAAATAAATGATATCTTTCAATAGTATAATAAAGACAACAACACATAAATAATGCTAAGAGTAGATTATAAGCTGTTGCGGGATTTACTCATAGCAAAATTTAAAATACCCTATTACATCTTTCTGTCCACCCTAGATATATATTGCGATATTTAATCCACATATAAAAATGCTTCAATTAAAATAATTCCGTTGATAATATCGAATTTGAAAAGTATTACTCATAAACTGATATATTTCATTTTGGGAATTGTATGATTTACTAGACAATGCTAATGCAAATATTGGTAAAATAGCTTGACATTCTTGAAGCCATAGAATAATATCTGCGTTGGTCTTACAATTGCCATCAAACAGCTATGTTCGTGAACTAAATAGCCATGCACTTCATTGAAATAATCCTCACACCTAAGCATAATAAACTGCAAGTTAATTAAATACTATTTTTTTTTTTATACAGTACGTGTTATAAATATACTTTATTGGATAAATCAGTATCTTACTCAAAGTGTTTCAAAAAAAGCTAGTAATCACTCTCTGCTATATTAATAAGCCTATTCATAAAGTTTGGGTTATCCTTACTGTTATAGAAAGGCTACCTGACAAAGGGGAAAATCGCCATTTATATGCATAGAATTAATCGTAGAGAGGAATTTCGATTCCAAAAGGACAAAAACATGTATTTATATGAACAGCCATATTCCCCGATAATATAATAATCAATCAAGGAGCAATTAATGTATTTATAGGGTTGTTATCCTTATAAATAAATATAATCAAAAATTAAATAAATAAAATATACTGGTAATCCCCCAAATATAAAATATGCATCCATTTGAATTACTCACGAAACGTAACAGCTTATAAATACTCGTAAAGACTGCCTTCCACTTAATTTTATTACATGAATTTCGATGATATCAAGTCGCTGAACTTTAACTTACCTTGGAAAAGAGAAGGGAATATTATCGCTACTACTCTAAAGCGAGATTAAAATCCGGAATCTTCAGTTTTAATTGGTATCTCTGTTTCAGACAACGATTAAGCAATGTCTGAAAATCATATTTTTGATGATTCTATCAGGCCTGAATACTCGTATAGTCAGTATATGGCACCACAATTATACGTTACCATTCCTGAAGAATCGGTTAGCACTTCAGTAGAGCTTTACTTCAAAACTTGAATTATTATTTAAATAATTTATGAAAATGTCATATAATTCTACTCTTCAGCTGCTAATTGACATATTTGTAAAATGATATTCATTTCTTTTAAAGTTAAAGCCCACGTTTAAATTCGCCAAACATCTAGGAATTCGTCAAGAGGCGGATAAAAATCTTTCGGCAACGCTTCAGGTATAGACAATCAAGATCCAAATACAATAATTAGCCCTACTTAGCACTGAAATTTAATCGCGAATATTCTAGGAAAATCAAATAATAATAGATCACATTTATCAATTTCTTTCAAAAAAGTTACATAAAATACTGTAAAATCATTTTTTAAATTTATCAGCTAGTAAATTAATCAAAATACTTACATCTAAAATTTAACACTCAATGTCTACCACTATTTCTATCTCAACAGTATGAATTGATAGGCTTTTAAATCATAAATTGTGCTATATTTTTCAAATATAAGTAAATCTAGTTTACAATTTTATATGAAATTGCAAAAGTATATTGTAGGTAAAGAAGACAACCTAAATTTATTTTTAAACTCGAATTAGATTCAAAATTGGCATGGCCCGGTTAAAATTTACACCATGCTGGCTGAGTCATCTACAAGTTCATCTCCATTACCGCATTACAATATGCTTTGCCCTCTAATGAGGGAAAACATGCACACTTTTGACGAAAATGGTCAATTTCGTACTATACTTCCAGGAGAAACTGTTAGCGTTATCATCAATTATTACAATGATGCCTCGACTTTAACGCACACGTATGATAATATATCGATATTTAAATCAAGTAAGCTTTCGAAGCGGTTAATTCTCTAATTTTTCGAATATTGTTACGTAGATTATCCGATCTTGTTGTGGTCAAGCAAGAAAAAGAGAACAAGGAAAATTCACTGATTAAAAATTTAAGAACGTTCATGGAGGTTACACGTAAATTGCCATACAATATCCTTGAAGAGAATGTCTTCACTAGACCATGGAGCGTTGCTTCTGGTAAGGAATTAGTTGATCACAGTTAATATCTTTCTAATTCTACGTGGTATGATCGTTATATTTTTATAACCGTAAAACAACAGCAAAATCCTCAGTTCGTTTCGAAGTAAATCGAAATGTCAAAGATAATTGATCTGTGCTATTTCAAGCCTCGCACTTCAAAATGGTTGCGAGGATAATTTTATTAAAATAGATTTTTTGTTCATTAGTTCTTGCATAACTTAATTAATTCAAGCAGACAAAATGACTAATAGATTGAACTAGCATTATGTAGGAGGCAGTTCAATCAATCAAAGCAAGATTAATGATGTACTAATGTTGTGATTATGATGTATAGCTAAATTATATATTAGTAGCTCTCTTTGTTTATTTATATTGCAATATATTTGATTAAGGATTAATACATTTTTTAGTCGTTTAAGCATTATTTACTTATGCTTTTACAGGTACAATGCCGGAAGAATATGTTAATTGCATTGTCAAAAATGAACTCAAAAATTTAGAAGATGATAAAGCGAAATTAATGTTTTACGTGGAATTCTTAAATGAAAGAATTCAACTTGAACCTGCAACTACGATTATTTGCAGCCAAACATTTCAAGATAGTAAGGCAATTACGTTTATCTGTAACTAGAAACGTTATTAATTATGCTATTTATTCTGACTTATTTTAAAATGTAGAACTCATTTTCGACGATTAATTAAATAAATAATAAAAATCAGCTATTACATAGGTAAATTGAAAACTCTAATCATCCACATTAATTCGCACAGGTAGTGTAAAATGGCGCTTAGCTCGAATCTCTCCTGATAATGGTCTGTCTACAAATTTCACAAAAGTGATGATTGCCCTTGAAGGAAAATTCAATATAGACAATAACAAACCAGAAGTATTTATAGTTGATCCTGGTAAATATATTTTACCTGTTCTATTTATCGTGCGTAACTCACGCACCATGCATGCATACTCATAGAAAATTCTATTAAATCACTTCAAATGTCCCCTTTCTAGCTATTACTTTATTTCAGTAACATGATCTCAGTTTAGCTAGAGCACTGCAGTTACTTATAATACAGACCGCTTTTTGCATAATAACTAATTATATTATAATTAATTAGTTTATTACTTTCTCTAGCAACAGATTATGTTCTCAAGAAGATTCCTTTCGAACAAATTAATATCATTCATGAGGTAAAGCCAGAAATTACTTTAAGTTACAAAATACGAGAATATTCAAATCGTGATATATAAATTGGCTATATTATCAATTAAGTAGACTTATTGATATTAACTTAAAAACTACCGGTAATAATCGTAAAATTAAATTAAACTAAATCATTTTTAGATAATTAAAATACTTCTTAAAATTTTCGGATAGCTAACTTTCTCTTATTTTCATAGTCCGTTGAAATAATTACTTCATACCTGATTTTTATTGCATATTATTAGAATTGTATTACTATTATGATGCATCCACTTCATGATTCGATATTGCCCAAGCGAGTTTGGATTAAGCTACGGTCCACAAAAAATTTAACTTTAGAAAGTAATTACTTGCAATTTACCTACTTTGGATCGACAATGATCGATACTGAGAGATCTACTATACAGCGTAAGTAGTAACATGCAAATCTGTTTACACTCCTTATCATTTTGAAACTGTATAAAAATAAAAGCTATAATATTCATAATAATGGAAAACAGCTACTAATTACTTGATGAATTGTATAAATAAATAATTCATAAAGTGCACGTAATTCGAAAATTTGAAAAGAAATTAAATTTAAATTAAAATCAGAATAATAACCTACTTGACTAAACTTACGATTTCTATATCTTAGAATACATTTGGAACAGCGAAATTGGCCTGCCGCAATTTCATCAATTTTATGAAGCAAATCAGCATATGGATTATTCCTCTTCGAACGTGAGAATGATGAATAATTTCGGCAGTGATTCTAATAACAATTTCCAAAGTATGAGTGAAGATCCGAATCTTAGATCAGGTACATACTCCAACTCAATATATTGTTAGCAGATCTAGCAACTTTATATGCTCTA